TGTTCTCCAATAAATGCTTAACAGTATCAATTTCGTAATTAATCTTTTGCAATTTATGGAAGCTTATATTTCTGCCACCTAATTTTGCTAACAATTATTAATTTAATTTAAGTTTAGAACGCTTTTTCATAAGCACATATAATATAATGCATATATTGTATATGTGCCGAAAAATAAATTATCCGTTTTCCTGGACGACAGTATGTGGCCTGAAGGTGTGACTTTCAGAAGATTTATGAAGAATTATGGTAATTCAAAGAATAATGATAAATAAATATGGATATAGATAACTCTAGAGTAAAATTTATAACCTTCAACTGCAAATTTTTGGCAAGTTCTATTGATGACATAAGATTACTGTGTCAGTCTGCAGACTTTTAGCACTACAAGAAACATGCCTACGTCCGGAGGATATCGCTTCGCTTGGTCACATGGAGCAAAATTTTGATTACTGCGGCGAGTCAGCTGGGGATACATCGAAGGAAATCCTTCGTGGGCGGCCTTATGGTGGGGTTGCTATCCTGTGGCGGAAAAATATATTTCAAGCGGTTGCTGTGATCCCATGTGCAAGTGATAGGATATGTGCGGTGAAAATCAGCGTGGCGGAGTGTTCCTTTCTTGTGTTCTCAATATACATGCCATATGATATACCATCACACTTAGATGAGTTTACGCATTGTTTAAGTGAAATCAATGCTGTTATTGAAAGTTGTGATGTTGAATATAGTTACATACTCGGGGACTTCAATGCTGCTCCGCGTAAACAGTTCGGTGATGAATTAAACAGTTTTTGTTTAGAACAAGACTGGAACTGTGTAGATATTGAAATGCTTGGGTTGAACTCTGGTTCTTATACATATGTAAGTGATAGTCATGGTACCTGTAGTTGGCTGGATCATTGTCTTGTAACACAAGCAGCCCGACATACTGTAGCTAGTGTCGCTATTATGTACAATGTTTTTTGGTCTGACCATTTGCCACTTGTGGTGCAGTGCAATCTCAATGTGATGCGATCAAAGGTATTGTACTGCAGTAATGTGAGAAATGCTATTGTATGGGGAGAACGGAATATTTTCCAGACTTCACAGTATACTAATTATTGTAATGAAAAGTTAAAACATATTGATTTTCCATCTAATTTTGTATGGTGTGCTGATAAATTATGTAATAACATTAATCATAGAAAAGACTTGATAATATTGTATAATAAGGTTATAGAAGTGTTAGTTGAGGCCTCTATACATAGCTGTAATCAGAAAACAAGTAATAAAAATAAAAATAAAAATATTTGTGGTTGGAATAAACATGTGAAAACTGCTCATAGTGAGGCTCGTATATGGTTTCGTAATTGGATTGCTTATGATAGACCAACTTGTGGTTATATGTTTAATAAAATGAGAGATTGGTAAATCCACCCTTATGTCCAGATTTAGTAGATAAAAGTAGCACGACATATTATAATAGTAATGATTGTAATGAAAAACCTATTTTGGTTACTGCATCAGAAATAAGATCTATTATTAAGAACATGAGTCATGGTAGGTCTCCAGGTCACGACTGGTTGAGTATAGAACACCTTCAGTATGCCGGGGTGCATTTACCTAGAATTTTGGCTATGTTTTTCTCGCTATGTCTGAATCATGGATACTTACCAGACGAAATGTTAAAAAACAGTGGTTGTACCAATTGTCAAAAATAAAACAGGTAATATTAGTGACAAATCCAACTATAGACCAATATCTTTGGCTACTATTGTTGCTAAGGTATTGGACAGACTGCTTGAGCAACGGCTGAGTGCACATATAAAATTGCATGATGCACAGTTTGGTTTTAGACCAAATCTATCAACTGAAACGGCTGTGTTGTGTCTCAAGCAGACTGTCCGATATTATACTGATAGAGGTACACCGGTATATGCTGTGTTTTTGGATCTGTCAAAGGCCTTTGATTTAGTTAATTATAATGTGTTGTGGAAAAAGCTGTGTGAAGATACTACTCTACCTTATCAGTATATCTTGTTATTAAAGTATTGGTATTCCAATCAGCAGAACCAAGTCAAATGGGCAGGAGAGCTTTCGAGTATGTACAGGTTGGAGAGCGGGGTGAGGCAAGGGGGGATTAAACTCACCAATGCTCTTCAATCTCTATGTGAATAAGCTGATGGAGGAGCTCAGCAGAGCCGGCGTTGGATGCTCTATCGACGGTACTTTTGTCAACAGTATAGCCTATGCGGATGATATTGTGCTGCTGTGCCCTTCTATCAATGCACTCAACAAGCTGCTTGGCATCTGTGAGCGATACGCGGTGTCGCATGGTCTTAGATTTAATACTGCTAAGAGTGAACTCCTTGTCTTTAAAGCTAAAGAGAGAAACTATAAAGTTCCAGTAGTAAAACTAAATGGAGTTCCACTGAACCAGGTGCAGAAATTTAAATATCTGGGACACTGGATCACCGACTCGCTCAAGGATGATTTGGACATGGAAAGGGAGCGGAGAGCCTTGTGTGTTAGGGCAAATATGATAGCCCGAAGATTTGCACGCTGTACCAGGCAGGTAAAAGTTACGCTTTTCAAAGCATTTTGTACCTCTTTGTACACGTGCAGCCTTTGGACACATTACACCCAAGTAGCATACAGGGCTCTTCGCACTCAGTATAACAATGCCCTTAGAGTAATGTTGGGGATGCGCCGCCCTTGTAGTGCCTCAGGGATGCTGGCGGAGGCTGGAGTTGACAGTCTGTCAGCAATTATAAGAAAGCGCACAGCATCCTTGATTCACCGGGTGCGGGGTAGCGCCAACATTCTAGTAAAGACTGTTGCGGCTAGATTGGACGTGGACAGTGCTATCATGCAGCACTGGACTCGCGTTCACCTAGTCAAAGACACTAGACCGTCAATAAATTTCGATGTGGATAATATTATACTAACATAGTTATAAGTTTTCTTTGTTACTAACACTATATGGGTTCTTAAGCCTGAAATAAAAGATTTTTATTTTATTTTATTTTATTTTATTTAATATTTTGGTCTTCAAAAATTACACAGAAATGTTGAATATTATGAGTTATTGTAAAAAAGATATGTCTAAAATTAATACACGTTTTGTTAAACTTTGACTAACTCTAGATAACTTACGAATAACTTATAAATAACAATGAAGAACGCTGAATCCACAGATATTATTTCAGATACGTAAAAATTTTAAGATAACAGTATATTCAACAAAGTTGTTGGAAGTTTTAATTGAGTTTTTTAAGATGCATCCGAGCCGGAGCTGGTGTCATGTCCAATTTCATACAACTTCGCAAGTTTTTGTTTAATTTATTTCATTTCAATGCTTAGCTTTAATTTTCATTATGACTAAGAAGTTATATAACTGTGGTAAGGCCACCCAGCAGCCTCGGCTGTTGCACGAATGGGCAGGCCCGTCCGGGGCCTCACAGAAGACCAGCGTAAAGTGGAAGTATGACAAATACTTTCGCGTTTCGTCTGGTGAGGGAGGTAGCCGGGGCCGAAATTATTTGTCATACTTCCACTTTACGCCAGTCTTCTGTGAGGTCGAACAAGCCTGCACATTCGTGCAACAGCCGAGGCGGCTGCGTGGCCCTACCACAGTTATATAACTTCTTAGTCATAATGAAAATTAAAGCTAAGCATTGAAATGAAATAAATTAAACAAAAAATTGCCTTTAAAATTTAACTAGATATAGGCTAGACGACTAGCTAGCGCAATTCTTAGGCTATATATGTTTCGTCAACGGAGCCAGTAGGTTCAACTCTTAGACGAGATAGGAAGTATTTTTGTCACACAGATATTTGTTCTGAATCTTGCTGTTTGTTATCGAGAGTTTTGACATCAGGCAGGTAGCCAATAACATTAAAAACATGATTCAAATTCTGAGCCTATCTTTTTTATGTGAGAATATGACAAGCGAGCTGTCAGTTTACGTGATATTAAGTGATAACCGCCGCCCGTATGTTCGTAAATGCGTTGCCACCTTTAAATAAAGTTGGCCCCGGCTACCTCACTCACCAGACAAAACGCAGAAGTATAACACTTCCACTTGTATGGTCTTAGTACTTACCCGGACGGATCTGCCCTTTTATGAAACAGAAAAGACTGTTGTATGGCCCTACCACTATAAACTATAAAACGATCCGGCAATGACGAACATTTTTTTGACAAAAACAATTCACATTTTAATTTTCATCTTGAACGAAGAGATTAGCATTAAATACGAGCAGTTATTGAGTTTTCTTTTATGTGTAATAACTTTTAAAAATATACAAGCAGTTCTTGTTTGATTTGATTTGCTCCAATTATTGTAAACCAGAAATGTTATTATTCATATCAAGTTTAAATTATTGTAGTATTGGGCAAATTCACGAACATGTTTAGGGCTTAATCAGGCTTGGCTGTGGCGTTAAAAGGCTACGTGAGTCAAGTAAAGAAAAGTAATTAAAATAATTAATTTTCGAAACATTACCCCTGTTACTTCAATGTATACTGAATTAAACTAAATTAAGTTACGCCAATTTTACACAAACTGCTTAAGGTCCAATGGAAAAATAGGAATTTTCCAGTCAATAAAACTTATAATATGTGCTGCGTAGATAATCTCTTCGGTAGATTTAACTTAATGGCGTAGATCGCAAATTTACTTTCTTTCTTTTACTTTATTCAATCTTTTATAAATATGAAAGATAAATTAACTATGAATCCTTTTAAGCATAAATGATTAATATATTTTGTACAAGACATTTGATAACAAACTTTTTGGTAAGAATAAAACTCATTTCTATAAGAACTACTATGAACTAAGTCAAAGAAGTAGAAGTTTCAAAATTATTTCAAGTTGCACTAAGTAGATAAACGGATGAAAAATGAATAACAACATCTGTTAACTTACATCACTATTTTATTATCTAAGTTTAAAGAAAATAGACGAAACCAATACAATGTATGAATGTTGTCATCTCAAATCGCGCGGCCCTTCGCTAGTAAAGGAATATCGTGCCATCGGAGTGGTTCTCCACTTTAATGGTGGGCGGAGGTGGGTCCCTCTCCAAAAGGTACCTCCGTAGCTCCACCAGGCCGACGTTAGCCAGCGAGCACATTACGGCTGGCAGCAGCATCCTGAAACGGTAACGTCGAAAGTTAAGTAAAGTAAAGTAAAGTAACAGCCTATACATGTCCCACTGCTGGGCAAAGGCCTCCTCTATACAGAGGGTATCAGGGCATAGTCCACCACGCGGCCCCACTGCGGATTGGCGGACTTCACATATCTTCGAAATACATTTTTTTTTTGTTATTATTTCGAAAATATGCAGGTTTCCTCACGATGTTTTCCTTCACCTTTTATAAGAATGTGTAAAGAACTTAATACACTTTTTAACCGTGCTGAATATATCGACATTTTTAACGATTCCCCTTATGTTTACAAAAAGAAAGTCATTTCATTAGTATATATTATAGTGTAGTACTCTTTAAAGTGAATTTATTTTTTAATTTATTTTTGATTCTTTATTGTTAGTCTCTTCTTTGTATTTAATTTTAATTTTTTATAAATTAGTTTTTTGGCTATTAAACTTTGTCACAATATTGTAAATGTTGTACACACCTGTTACAGGTGTACATATTAGGTCCAATTTTTTTTTCCTTTTTTGTAAGTTGTGCAAATATGTATACTGTTGCTGTGTCTTAAATAAATAAATAAAAAAACACATCAGGTGAACCGCCAGCTTGTTTGCCACTTTCTCACATAAAAAAGAGAATATTTACCAGTACGAGTAACCCAGCCCTGGATCCGGCACAAAGAGTCCAGCAGCTATGTACGACAGCGCTAAATGGTCCTTCAAACCAGACGTCGCCCAGTAAATGCCAAACAGCAGTAGCACCGTCAGTCCACACACCGCCGCCACTACATTTGTCCAAAGACAACCTGCAAATATATCACTACATAGTATAAAACAAAGTCGTCCCGTTGTCTGTCTGTCCCTATATATGCTTAGATCTTTAAAAGTACACAACGGACCTTGATGCGTTTTTTTTTTAAGTAGATAAAGTGATTCAAGAGAAAGGTGTATTTATAATACATTGCACCCGTGCGAAGCCGGGGCGGGTCGCTAGTAAGTAATATAAATATATATTTTCCAAATTACAAACACGTGCAAGTAGTCGCGTCTTGAATCCGAAACTTATTGCTATCATCGTTAGACAAAAATCATTAATTTATGTGTTAAAACGTTAATAAAACAGAAATTTAAAAACGGAAAAGTCACAAGGGGAGGTTGGGATTGATAGCCGTGGGATTTATAGCCAGGGCATTTCTCGATTTGACGTTTTCAGCTGTTATAAACGAACGTTCATGTAATGTACACGTTCAAAAACATTGGTGCAAATCATTTGAATTTAATGTAACTAGTTTTTATATTTAGGGTTTGCCCACAATGTGACAGAAAGTAGATAAATAAAAATATTTCAGGACCGGCTGTACACAACATTATCTAGGCGCATACTAAGCAAAGCTTGTACTATGGATACTGGGTAACGTAATGACATACTTTTCTTTTGTAAATATATACATATTTTAGATATATTTTAGACACTAGAAAACACACTGTTTTTCACACAATATTCTTTCAGTAGGGATCAAACCCGCACACTTGCGCATCATACCGGTCCACTATCTACTACGCCAATTGGGTCAACTAAAGTAAGTGCCAATCATTGGAAGTTTATATATAGGTAATTGATATGTAGGGTTTGCCGACCACGGAATAGAAAGAGATATTAGATTATTATTAGCTGTTGTCCTTGTTACCAGGTAAACCGAAGACTGGCTCAGTGGGGTTCTTCGTGGCATTGATGATGGCCAGCGCGGCAGCCACCACGGCAAACGCCAATTGGAAGAACAGAAAAGCCGTGACGCTCACGTAGACGGAGTACGAAATCACAGCTGGGCCGTACACTAAAACCGAAAACGCACTACGTGCAATTCTTAATTTTTAGAAAAATCTTTCAACTAAAAGCCAGCGCGCGGTTCACCTGAAGATAAAAGAATAACGTGTGGCAAAAGTCAATGGTCCGCCATTGACTTTTGCCACACCTTTTTTGGGTGTTGCAGGTGCGTTGACAGTCTTTCAAAAAGTGCATCGCGGTACTCATTCACGAGGCAATTACGAAAATGTAACGCGTTCATTTCGCGCCGGTCTTCTGTCAGGTAGTGGTGCGGAGAATAAGTAATTGTTTTATGGGACAATGTATACGTTTTGACAACAATATTCCGGAAAACGTTCACAGTGTGTCAATTTCTAAATTCAAAAAAATTGTAAAAAAACGTTTGTGAGTATTATATATTAGTGATCATTTAAATGATAAGCCTGGAAATGAATTGATCGCTCCAGCCTCTTTCAAGTGGACTTCAATACTTTTTAAACATGTTTCTTGTCAAATAATGGTAAATAAAATGTCCCGCTGAGTTTCTTTCGCCAGTTCTACTCAGATCAGTGACTTTTCTTTTCCGAACCGGTAGTACCGTTTTCACAATCAATAAGTAAGTGTAATAGTTCTATATTGAATAAAGATTTGGATTTGAATTTGGTACAAATACAACTCACTCACACGGGTTATCTTCTTCTATAGTAGTTACTGAAACACATGCTTGATTCGGCCGCAAACCTGCCGCCATCGCACGTACCTGCGAAAGAAGCAAAACTTGTGTTTCTTACGCTGTTTATCTTTAGGTTTGTCAGTCGGTAAGTATTTAAAACAACAAAAAGATTTTCAGACCATTAAAATAGCTAAACTGCGAGCGATATGAAAAAACGAGCGTGTATCCGAATTATTTTTAACCTTGCGAAGCAGAATAAAGCAGTATGCAATAGCGTTATTTACTATTTATCTTACTAGTTAAATGTGGTTAGGCCACGCAACAGTAGCACGAATGAGCAGGTCCGCCCGGAAAAGTACCACGACCTCACAGAAGACCGACGTGAAGTGGAAGTGTTATATTTCTGCATTACGTCTGGTGAGTAAGATAAACGGGGCCCACTTTAAAAGGTTGCAACGTATCTGCACCCCTACGGGTTATGACTTAACATCATATCAGCGCCAGCTCATTTGCAATCCACTTACATAAAAAATAAGCACTACCTGTTATATGAGGTGACTAAAATGGCGGTTCACAGGACATCAGGGTACTTTTTCAATAACTAGTGAGGTCAACTCCGTGAGGGTGGCAACAAACCTAAGGAAGAAGTCACCACCCCTGTCTGGATAAACTCAGATGCATTACAAAGCGGTAAAGGAATAACATTAGAAATCTTGAGACCCCTTCAAATGTACTATCCATCGAGGTATTTTTATTGTAAAGTCTTAGTAGATGGAGTGACCTGTGCAAATGTGCGGGAAGTAGATGGATGCAGGTGGCTCGGGATGGTGCTTCGTGGCAGTCTATGGGGGAGGCCTGTTCAGCAGTGGACTCAAACAGGATGAGATGATGATGATGAAGTCTTACATAATCATGACTTCTTCATATGTCTTACGTCTATGGGGGAGGCGTGTGTTCATCAGTGGACTCAAACATGCTGAAATTATGGTGATGAAGTCTTACATAACCATGACTTCTTCACATATCTTACGTCTATGGGTTAGGCCTGTGTTCATCAGTGAACTCAAACAGGCTGAAATGATGATGATGAAGTCTTACATAACCATGACTTCTTCACATATCTTACGTCTATGGGTGAGTCCTGTGTTCATCAGTGAACTCAAACAGGCTGAAATGATGATGATGAAGTCTTACATAACCATGACTTCTTCACATATCTTACGTCTATGGGGGAGGCCTGTGTTCATCAGTGAACTCAAACAGGCTGAAATGATGATGATGAAGTCTTACATAACCATGACTTCTTCACATATCTTACGTCTATGGGGGAAGCCTGTGTTAATCAGTGAACTCAAACAGGCTGAAATGATGATGATGAAGTCTTACATAACCATGACTTCTTCACATATCTTACGTCTAATGGGGAGGCCTGTGTTCATCAGTGGACTCAAACAGGCTGAAATGATGATGATGATGAAGTCTTACATAACCATGGCTTCTTCACATAAAACACGATATCTCAACTACAGTCTCTCTTTAAACGAAGAAAAGGAAACTAACCTCGTCCTTTCTAGCCTGCGCCTCAGTTTTACAGCTCACGCCACACGCGCCGATGTCGGACAAGCAGGTCACTGGAACACAAGCAACAACACAATCTGTACTTTTCAAATAATCGTGTAAAAATGTAAGTTTTTTTTATGTGAAAAGTTGCCAAGCGAGCAGGTGGTTCACCAGATGTTAAGTGAATACTGCCGCCCATGGACATCTGCTACACCGTAGTGTTCCAGATGCGTTGACAACCTTAGAATATTAGACAACCCTGAAAATTAGACTCCGGCCACCTCACTCACCAGGCGAAAGTATTATACTTCCACTTTACGCCGGTCTTCTGTAAGGTCGTGGTACTTACCCGGACGAGCCTGCGCATTCGTGCAACAGCCGAGGCTGCTGCGTGGCCCTACCACCGTAAAAAAAGTTGAAAGAGTATGCTTGGTATATAGGAAGTGCATTAGATAACGGCAAGATTTGCTAAAAATGCAACAAAAACAAAGTAGATAAGACGTCGATATACGATGTTACGGCACCGATCGTTTGCCCACACAAAATCCACCTTATATTCGTTACCCAATTTATGATATAGAGATGAACAAATGTCCAGATTTGGTTAATTCATTTATAAAACACAAGTCGCTGTAAAACACAAGTCGAAATCGAACCAGATCCTTTGGGCAGAAGTCAATCAATTAACGTCTATAACGACTGCGTCAAGAAACGTGAGTCATTCAAAGAATGATGTGCTTTTCCCAAGATTTTGGCAAAAGAAGTCGAACTGGCTAAAGCAAAACTATTATCCTACATTGAAATAGATGCAGTCAAATCTGCTTGTGGAATCGCTTTGTAATCCATAGTTTTAATGGCAATATTCAGATTTAATTCTTCTCTCGTGTATTTATTTATATATATTATATATTTATTTATGTTTATGTATGTTTATTATAATTTTGTTTATCTTATTATATTTAAGTCTATTTTGGTATTAAGTAAGTTTATTGAGCACACCACCTCCCACTATTCATTAGTTTATTTTTCCTCGTCCTAAGGTTGTCTGGAAGAGATCGCTTTTTAGCGATAAGACCGCCTTATTGTAACTAGCTTTTAAGACTTATTTCATACTAATTGTATCAAATTCTTTGTGGTGTACAATAAAGTATATAATAATAACATAATAATATATGCACACATAAGCATTATTTCAGGTTAAGACGATCAGGTTAAAACCATCCGGGAAAAGAGTTGCTGTGGCAGGGCCACATGGCACATGGCTACATCTTCTGCTAATACACGAATTGAAGTCTGCCATGTGAGACAGCATCGGCACAATTTTATTAAATGTTAGCAGTACATCTCCTGAGGTGTTAATTATTTAATTTTAGCTGAATTTCCTACTCCCTTGTCAACATTTTACATTAACAAGTAGATATAATTTAAAAAACAAAAGTTTCTGTATCATTTGGATTTTGATATAACCGGTGACACTCTAACAGTAAACACGAATCTAACGACACCAACAACATAACCCTCCTTCTGGCGCAGTTGGGTAACAAGAGGTACTTTGAATATTTAAATTATTAAATCTAAATAGAACTGAAACATTGTACTTTGTCCAGTGAAGATAATGAAGCTAAATGTTTCAAACATCAGAAGACAAATCAAAAATAAATATTGAGGAAATCGTAGCAAGTAAAGTATATCTCAATATAAGCAATAGAAGAAGAGCAAGTATATCGCTAGTACACTTTATTACGAATATCGTTAAAATTTCTAAAGCACAAAATTTAGCCCGCCTTAACAATGCTATTGTAGAAGATTAATAATTGTTAGACTAATAATTTTTGAAATTTAAATTTTTTCGACGAAAACGCCTAGAGTAAAAGATTATCATGAAACTGAAACATAATTTAGGTTGTCAAAATAACCTTTAAATGTACGCAACATTAATGCTCCTTACATTTGTACAGTTTCAAACATATTCGGTTTTATCATTTAACTATAACAATTTACAAACACACACACACACACACAATATGGGTAATTATATTAATTAAATGCCTTTAATATTCAACGCCCGCTGCATAAATTGAATAAAGTATTTAGTATATTTTATTCGATTTACGCCGGGGTGTTCTTCTAATTTAGCACGAATGTGTGACACGCTTAACATGTACTCCACCGCTTGGGAAAATCCCCGAAATCACTGGGATTGAGCTGGATTTACTAACATTTATCGACCTACCGTAACTTACCTTCACCAGACTTAAAAATAATATTTCTTAACCTGCCTACCCCGGAATTTAAGGCCAGTGTGACGAGATCAAGACCATTTAATGCTAAAAAAAAAACAACACACACTGGTAAAGAAGCTTGTAAGCTTATTTGGAAAAACTTACTGTACAGGGTGTTGTAAGATGCCGTGTCAAGGTTCCGTAGAGCAAGCTCCCCCCTAAAAAGTCCGTAGCGCACATCACTGTCTCGTACCTGATTTTCGGCTGTCGCAGACGATACTATCTGGAACAACGCAAGCTGTTAAGTGTGCCACCTAAGCGGTAACGTGGATCTAGTCTTATAAGAAGCAGAGAGCAGGCTATGTGAATACAAAACGTATTAATGAAGAGTCGTGACGGTTGAATTGACAATCGTTGTAATATGAATTGAGTAGTATCGTTACATAAATATTTTACTAATGAATTAAGAATATTATGTATTTTAAATATATTACGTTTTACATTATACTACCGGAGATATAGGTTTCACTGTGGTAGGGCCACGCAGCAGCACAATAGGCAGGCTCATCCGGGTAAGTACCACGACCTCACAGAAGACCGGCGTAAAGTGGAACTATAATACTTTCGCGTTTCGTCTGGTGAGTGAGGTGGCCTGAGCCCAATTTTCAGAAGGTTGTCAATGCATCTGCAACCCTCGTGTGTAGCAGATGTCCATGGGCGGCGGTTTTCACTTAACATCAGGTGAACCGCCTGCTCGCTTGGCAACTTGTCACATAAAAAAATAGATGAATTGGTGCTGACTTAATAACTTTACAGGTTATTAATGATTTTTCTTTATCTTTACAAAAGGAGTCCAAATATCTTCTCTTCAAATGTATACTTAGCAGTTGATCAATTACGTATTTAGAGATTTTTTTTACTTTCATTAAGTTAATATGAAGTTTATTGTTCTAAGCTTTACGTGTATCTCATCACTACACCATATACCATGAGAGCTGAGCCAGCTTTCAGAAAATTGGGGATGCAGTTAACTCTATAAATACTGAATTGTACATATTCTTAGGATATTGTATACGATCAGGTTCAAATGTTTAAATTAAATTAAAAAACGCACCTGCTGCTCGGATGCATAGGCGTATATAGCAGGGGGGCCGGGTGGGCCATGCCCACCCCAGTATTATCTAGTACTCACCCCAGGATTTTAGGTAGGCCAATGCTCGGATGTAGGAATTATTTGAAGTTACATCTCCGATATCTATATTTATGCGTACTATTAAATTATTTCTTATATTTAGACGAATAGTTCATATCTTTAACCGTTCATTATTACCAAATTTTATCGGGTTTAATTCAAGTTCCCTTCAGTCAAATTTAATATTAAAGCAAGAAAAGCTGTATTAATTAGTGTCCTCCACAGACAACTGGGTGACATTTTATGAAACTTAGATAACAACCCTTTTTGTATGGGCCTCACAAATTGTGAACGAATACATTGTGATAGAAGCACAACGTATGTTAGTATTGTTTTTTAGTTTGAAATCCCATTCGACGATCCTTGAAATGCCAGTGTTTTATGAACTAGGTATTACCTACATAAGTTAATCTGTAACCGGTCAACCGTCTCGTAATTATTAATTTTCCGCGGTTCGTATTCTTAAAACGATTACCATTGTTACTATTTATTACGCTATATATTATATAATTTTATGAACAAAGAATAATAGTAATAGTAATTCATTCATAAGTCCTTTTACTTAAGAATAAATTTTCTAATATCTTCAATAATCTGGCGCGTAATTTTATATTAACTATAGTTTTATCGCTTATTATACCACTGATAGAGATACTTTATTCATTATATAAAGCGTGTCTTTACAATCGCGACAATAAATGAATACACATATAGAGGATAACTTTTTAAAATTGTAATAAAAATTTACATTCTTTAAACATCTTATTTAGCGAGTTATTAAATTTTCCAAAAGAAACAATTTTAGAACAGCCTTACGTATAAAACTGTAACGTAAAGTTCATTTGTAAAGGTCACTAAGCATATTATGTATTATGTATGGGTTGAATGAATTGAGAAGAGACAAAACATACTGTTAGAAGGAGAGTTGTAATGGGACGTTGTGGCAACGAATGAAAACGTCTCTCAATGTATGAATCAGTCAGTTGTAGTTGTATAGGATGTTACAAATTTTGTTTCTTTTTTACTTAATTATTTTGAAAAATATTTTATTTTAACTATGGATTTTTTTATCTTTACTATTTTTTATGATTATTGGCAAGTAGCGTTAGACGTGTGTTCATTTACTGTCGCGGTGGTAACGACACGCTGTATATAACAAAAATTGCCAATAAGTTAAGGTGGGAAACATAAAAATACTTTTCTCGTTTGCAGTTATCATACATATTTATTAGGCCGATATCGTAAGACATACCTACTCGTAAAATAAATACCCAAAAAAATGTCAAGGACTGATAAAACGTATATTGCTTTATGCCGTAATAGCAGGGCAAATTTGAAAGTCATACATCGATGTACGTGTATATAGATGGAAGGAGAATAGACGATGGCTTTATTAATCTCTTTCAAAGGATGCGCCTAACTGCTTAAAGTTTATAACGCATTCGTATCCTAGTTTAATAGGCTCAATAAAATGATGCAAGCTGACTCGGTGACGTCGCTACTTTGATAAACATTGGAACGTCAACTTTGTGATTATCCATTGTTTATAGTTTACTAGCGACCCGTCTCGGCTTCGCATGGCTGCAATGTATTATAAATATAAACCTTCCTCGGGAATCACTCTATCTAGTAAAAATACACATCAAGATCCGTTGCGTAGTTTTAAAGATCTAAGCATACATCTGTACCCGGTACGGTTACGGTTTTTTTTTGTTTGAAAGCTGACTTGATCAAGATAATTGTTAGCTAATTATAGCTATTTAACATTTAAAAAAAACCACTCGTATTAATGTGTTTTTTTGTGTCGGAGGCTTACGTAAAATTTCAAATTTTATATCTGGTCGTTAACTGTTCCAGGAGTATTAATCTATTACATATGAGGTAGTCCAACGACCTACTACCTTCTAGTCGTTTGCCTGAATTGAGATACTGTTTTTGACGCATAAATCGTAAAAAAAGTAATATGACTCATCAATATTTACCGTCAAGTACCACTTTACGCATTCAATTTTTTACAACTTTACTAGTTTTTACTGTGGTGGAGCAACGCTACAACTTCTGATGTTGCTTGAATGGGCAGACTCGTCTGGAGATACCACGACCTCACAGAAGACCAGTGCGAAGTGGAAGTAATATAGTTTCGCGTTTCGTCTGGTGAGTGAGGTAAACGGGTCCCACGTTTTGTAAAGGTTGTCAACCCATTTGCCAGCCCTTAGGTGTTGACCATTGGCAGTGGTATCCACTTAATATCAGGTGAACAGCCTGCTTTTCACAGGAAACAAACAGCCCTGTACTAAAACCACGTGGCAGCTTGCTTTTTTGTAAGTAAATAGACTGACTCATTAGGACAGTATCTTGGCCTCATAAGTAATTAAGTCTAGTGAATGAAATAATAAGGACCCATATTATAATTGGCTACACAGCTGCAACGCCACGCCTGTTGTTGACAGCGGATGGCCATGAGGGGTGATAATCACTTAACATTAGGTGAACCAACACACACTTTGCCAAACCTTTTTGAAAAAAAAGTTAACAGAAGCGGCAATATTTTGTAAGGGCTCATGTGTCTTTAAATAATATAATTTACATACAATTTAAAGTACCACGCACAAATTACGCATAATCAAGGCGTCAAGTGCAAGGTCAGAACGAGTAATCTCCATATCTATGTCCCACAAATTGCATTACTCTAGTTATTTTGCACTTTATCTACTTATTACTTTGTAGTACATATTTTTGATAATGTCCTTTAAATATAATGAACTGTTTACTTTACGCTATCACTTACTATGTTACTCTTTTACAGAGAGAATAATGTTGATTTAACTCTGAATACGGTTCGTCACAACGTTCTTTCGGAAGCGGTTATTCTCTTATGTTGTTATTAGAAAAAATCGTCGTCCTCTTTTACAAAAAGATACAAACCCAACTGTCGCTGGAAATCGCAACCACCACCAACAACACGCACAGCACACCGGACACGAAAGCGCCGAATATGTAAGCGCGCCTTGTTACCGCCATGTTGGGTTCGAACCGACTGACGTGCGTTTATCGGCAATTAGAGCCGATAACGGGTGGATTATCACGTTGATAGGAAATTTTCAATGAATCATTATAGGTATTTAATTGTTGTCGCGTTAGATTGACGCCCGGTTTCTGCAACACTGATCGCCGTAAAAGTCAACTAATCAGCTGTTAAAGGGCTTTTCAAATGTCATTTGAGTTGCCAAAAGGATTGTTAAACTCCCCGGAATTGATCAGAATGATCTTCTTAATTATCAGAATAATCAATTCAATAGTTTAATAATTTGCCATTTGACAGCTCACTTCTACGGCGATAAGTGTTGCAGAAACCGGCCGTTTGTCTTCGTTTTACCGTGTCGCCGGCTAATGCGACAGGGCAGACGCAACGTGGCTCTTTAGTGGGTACCTGTTCTCTCCGGTATTCCCACATACCCCTGACTCCCCTGATTCGGTGGCAGGGGATCCATAAAGGATTTCTCCCACGTTATAAACACGTATTGAATTATTAGCATTGTCTCTTCTACTCCCATTTGTATGACTTACTCTATAATGCATCATCCTTGTTGCACGGTACAGCCACCTGAACCAGCTAGATCTAATCTAGCCGGTTCGAAAAAAAAATATTGCGGTTAAGTTATGGCTGACAATGTGGTCACTTGATCCCCTCGTGCTGTATAACCAATGCAAACGCTGCTCCACTGGTTGCTTTTCTCGTAGTCTTCGCTGTTGCACAAACGGCAGGCGCGCCCGAGATAATGCCACGACCTCACGGAAGAACGGCGTAAAATGGGAGGTAATCAGGACCCAATTAAATAAAACATGCCGACGCATCTGCATCCCTACTATCCTATGTCACCACGTTACGAAATATAAAAAAACTGCTTTCACTGAAATCGGGATCAGGGGTTTTACATACAGATACATTACAGATAAATTATGATCGTTTCAATAAAAACAAAACATTATTTATTAAGGCTTAACGCCGCGGCTGACAAGAGAGCTGATTATTTCCTCGCTCAAAAGTTAAGCATAACTATTCAGCGAGGAAATGCAGCTAGCGTTCTTGGCACCATGCCGCGTCGATTAGGTTTATTAGATAATATTTAATTTTAGATAGATTAAATCTTGTAAATATTGTATCAAAAGCTTTATAAACACTCACATCCATTTACTTTATTTATTCGGGACTCGGCCCCTAAAATAAATTGAAGTTTGCCTTTTAGAGCAATCCGAAAAGCTTAGCTTATCAAAATGGTCATCAGATAGAAAAATAAAGCCTCTCAAAATGAAACAACAGTTGTAATTAAACTATTTATTAGCTGCAAAAGCCTTCTGTGTTATAAATATAATTTCGAATAATTTCCATAAAATATACAACTGTAGACCATCACAACAATAAGATACATACAACTAGGGCACGTTATACTTAAAATAAATATAAATAGCTCACTTAAAGCAGGCTAAGTAATTTAAACTCTTAAGTGAAAGAGAATAGGGTCGATAACGTAACGTAAGGACACTACCCCGCTAAAAGTACAGTCGACCCATACTAACGCCATCTAGAAACGCACGTGGTAAATTTCTGTTCAAGGCAAAAGAATTCGTTGATTTATTACTCTTACGCCCGGTTTGTGAAACACTGATCATGGTAGAAGTCAACTAATCAGCTGTCAAGTGGCTTTTCAAATGTTAAATTTAAGTTGCCAAAAGGATGGTTAAACTCTCTGAATCGATCAGAATGACCATATTAATGATCATTTGACAGCTGATTAGTTGACTTCTACTATGATCCATGTTTCATAAACCGGGCGTTACGTTCGCAACAAACCGGCACGTCGAACGACACTTATTTTACGTAATTGTAAATTTATTTCAAGTATTTTTGACTGAAACAAAAACGCTATGGGTGCGACGCGACACGTGGATAATATTAAAACCACATGTCGCGTTTCAATATTAACCAATTTTATACAACCTATCAAAAATTTAAGAGAATATACAAATGGAAGATTTCTTGTATTGCCCTTACAGAGTAAGTAAGGACTAGTAAATACAGTGCTGTTAGTAAATATAGTCAACTGTATTTTAAAAGGCATCGGTAACGCATGACTCCAAGCACTAGATAGTTTTATATATATTTTTTTTTATGTGAAAAGTAGCCAAACGAGCAGACGGTTCACCTGATGTTAAATGAATACCGCTGCCCATGGACATCTGCTACACCCGTGGGTTTGCAGATGCGTTGACAACCTTTTTGGAAATTGGAAAAAAAACTAGGCGAACTCACTCAATAATATGGACAAAATCTCGTTGCAATTTCCATAAAGTGATGCGAAAATAATCTGCACCCTTAATAGAAACTGTGCATTATCATCATCGTCCCTATCATCCAAAAATAGATTCTATGGCGTAGCGATAGAGCTCTATTCGCATTGATATTAATGCACCAAGGGAACATCGATTTTACGATTTCAAGAGTGACATCAACCTAAAACAAATTCACACGCATCATTTATTTGGAATCACTGTTTGTCCGTTTGTCTGTCCGGTACAAAATCTCAAATAACAAATATTTATGCATTTTACACTTTAAAAACACATTATTCCATTGACAATGTTCATTAACAAAACAGGTCTGTCGAACCTTTCCTTCGCGAGTCTCATTATTTTTTTCACATAATTTCATCATTAAAATAATTTTTCCTCGATATTTGCGAGCAAAGGTCAATAAATAAATTAAGAAATGGCATACGAAGGTGAAGATTTATTATTTAAATGTGGTTGTGTGTAATTTCTACTTTTCATAATAGGCAACTTTAAAATGTTGTGCACGCCTGCTTTAAACGAATAAACATATGCTTAGCATTGCATTACAATGTCTTCATAGACAGTCATTTAGAAGCACGACAAAGCAGTTTCTGTTTCGGAAAAAAAAGAAACCTATAGGTTACAGCGTGTCGTTACCATCGTGACAATAAATGAACACGCATATAGGGGATAACTTTTTAAAGTTGTTTTTAAACATTTAAATTCTCTAAACATCAATATTTACAGAGTTATTAAATTTTCCAAAACAAAGAATTTTAGAACACCGGTTTAATAGGATGACCCCATATCTGTTTGTCTGTTATCATATATTAATGATCTCAATTAGAAAAGCCACACATTTAGAACAGCCCACTTGACAAACGCTTCCTTTTTAAATAGGTTATTATCGTATCCTCTCTCTCTGTTTCTTTCTCAAATAAATCTATTTCCTTCTTTCTATCTTATTCCTGGCTAGGTCTATTAACGAAATGGTCCTTTTAAAAAAAATATTTTTTAAGTACTCCAACTAAGGAAGAATATAAATAACGCTTGCTTTCAACGCCACCATTCTTATATTTAACCGAATTATTATTTATTAGAACACATTTTTATGAACCTCATTTTATTTTTAACCGACTTCAAAAAGGAGGAGTTTATCTATTCGGATGTTTGTATGTTTTCTCTAAAGTATTCGAAACGAGTTCAAAATTGAAATAAACGGCTATATAATTTGCAAATTAGTTTTATTGTAATGTAGGCATATACTGTAGAGATAATGATGTATATTCTCATATAAGCGGACCACAGACATCTGACATATCAGAGACGTTTGTTTGACAATGCAATGTCTTGTATATTTCATATTATGTTCAAGTTCAAATCTTGAACTCATCTCGTAAATTAAACTAAAATATGTTTGATCTGAAGTGACATATAAATATTTTGATACCATTATTTCTATAAATGAAACATCTTTTTATGAACGTGTAATTTATATAGAAAAAATGAAGACATATTTTCGGAATCAAACCTGCGTATAAAAGTAACACGAGTTGTCGAAATTCATCTCGTGATCATGAATGGTATTTAAAATTGGACGCGAAAAAATCCACACAAATTCCATTTACTTAATTACATTTCTTTACTTGTAAATCTTTCATAGACAAGGTCAACCTTGTGCGATATAAATATCATCAAACATTTATTTTTTGTAAATAATAAAAAAGATACAAGCGAATTCACTCTTCTGCGCAGTAAGAATTTAACCTTAAATATATTACTTGTACTTTGTTTTAAACTTTCCATTAAATTCAAATTTAATCCGAGGTAGAGACTCTCATGTTGTGATCCTTGATTCTGTTTAAACAAATACTATGGATGCTAGTTTTAGTCTTCATATAAATTGTTTAACACTTTAAAACGATTTCGTTCTACGAGCAGCTCCATAATATACTTACGTAAAAGTGTACAGAGACTATAATATAGCGTAATATAGTTATTGCAAATATTATTGTTCAATAACTTAATCTAAACTATTTCAACGTTGTAGATGACGTCCAAGTAATTAAATTAGTACAGTGTTTCCCAAACTATTTCCGCTATGAATATATTTCAGAGTACACCAATTTTACACTTAACGAAGTTTGAGAACCACTGACTTAGCATCAGATATATTGCGTTTCCGTTTCACAGCAATCTCTAATTCGGCATAACTCTTATATTACATTGTTATACAATAAATTGAAATTCTGTGAATATTATAATTATAATTACTAAAAGATATTCTTAATTCAATCTATATTTAACCCGGTGCAAATAAGGGAAAGTCTCGTTCTACTCTACTGCGGAGAAAGACTAATATATCTATCTCTTTCACACAATTTTATGAAAAAAGATAAGAATAAAAAAAATCTGTGGAAATACATAAATGCTATAAAATAGCGTTTGTTTTGGTCATTGCATGCGTCAAAATTTTAATTTAAAATATAATAATAAAGGAAGACTGCGAATTTCAGTTTGTCGGGTATCGCTGGAACTATTTGAAAGGAATATTACTCCAGGTCGACATATGCTATTACTACTGGAATCACATATTGTGAAAACTGCATTGTACCTGAGCGAAGCCGAATTAAATCGCTAGTTCAATATAATTATAATCTATAATAGAACAACACTAGAATAGAAAAGAAACTAACTTATCGTGGCGTAAAAATTTCACATTTTTGTCGTCGACGTTCTATACTCTCTGCATAATTTATTAGTCTTTCTCCGCGAACAGTTGTCCTTCTACAAAAATCTCTTTCTATTAACTCGCTACCAGGAAGCTCTACTATCTCCCTCTCAATCCTAGCATTTCTACTTTCAGTTATTAGTTATCACGCCGCAGTGAAGAGAGCTATATTACTCCACTACCAAAATGCTCTCCTAACACCTCGCCTCAATTGAAAGAGAGACAAAAACTCCATTACCCCACTAGCAAAACGCTCTTCTACCAAAGCATCTCATTTCCATCTTTGTCCGCATGGCCGCAACGAAGAGAGAACTCTATTACTCCACTACCAACACGCTCCCCTAAATTCCATCCTTGTCTATAACGCAGCAAAAAAGTGAGAACTCTATTAGCTCGAAACCAACACGCTCTCCTACCAACTTCTCTCAATTCCATCTTCTATAACGCCTCAACGAAATGAGGGCTCTATTAACCCGCTAGAAAAACTCTCCTGCCAACTCCCCCCCAATCCCTCCTTATTCGGATTGAGGAGGAGTTGGAAAGGGTCGTGATTCCGAAGCGTCGCGGACTAGACCCTCCATCACGCCGCTTCGGAATTGGCCTGCAGCGCAATCAAGCACTGCATCAAGCAACCGAGCCCCTCGTTCGCCTCGCACAGCTCTTTCAAGCGCTTCAGCTGCGGCTGACTAAAGCCCGAATGGGTGGCGACCACGCAGAGCAGCCTCCTATCGGGGAAGGGCATCGACCCGCCCCCCTCGCACGGCCCGCCCAATCCGGCGCCGCGGAAACCAAAGGCCCCGCCCACATCGAGAGCTCCGCCAATCGCGGCCAAGCCGCGTCGTAGGGCGTGGCAGGCGATTGGCGCGGCCCTCCGAAGGGGGCGGCGCCCACTCGCGGCTACGACCAGCGCCAGAGCGCAATACGGCAGCAGACGGGGAGACACCTTGCCGGTGAGGAGGTGGCACAGCGCCTCGAAGATCCAGCCGCTGAGCACGGCCAGCTGACCTTGGGACACGGCCGCCTCGAACACCTACAGGGATAAGAAAGAAGGAAATAGATTTATTTGAGACAGAGAGAGAGAAACGATAGTAACAATCGTTTCGTTATCTGTTAGTTATCTTTGTCTATGTCTCTGTTGCGGCCGGTGAAAGGTCCGGTTCTTTTCCACCGAAAGGTTCGTGTAATAACGTGTCATGTAAATATTTTTCGTCGTGAATAAAACATCGATTCATATCATATCGATTCATCCTGTTCTTCTTTTCCAGTGAATCGACTCTATTTGCATATTCTATTACTCTATTTCTATCCGTTTGTGTACGGTATATACTTCCATTTATTATGTTTCAGGTGCAACGTTCTCGTATTAACACTAATCATTTGATTTTGGAGTCCACGCACCCGAAACCGCATTTATGTAAGACACAAATTGTTACGTAGGCGCTAACTGGCGTATGCAAAGTTCACCACAACCATAACTCCGTATACAGTCATCGGCTTCGGTACCGCAGTTCTTGGGTTCGATTCCCGTACGGGACAACTATTTTTGTGACAAACATATTGTTTCTGATCAGGATATATTATATTCGTTCACGTAAAATATGTGCACGTAAGACATCCTTACAAGAGACGAGAATGCTATCCTACAGTAAGGGCAATGATATGCAAGGAAAAGGAGGAAGGTGCGAAGGAATATGAAACTCGTTATATCGTGCCGAGTACATTCAGTTTTTTAATAACTGTATTTGTTGCAACTAAACAAAACATTCATTCACTCACTCACTCACTCATTCATTCATTCAGTCAGTCGATCAATCATTCATTCATTCACTCGCTCATTCATTCAGTCAGTCGATCACTCATTCGTTCATTACAAAAACACCAACGGTCGCCCACCTCGTACACGATCCGCGCGTTGAGGACCGAACACTGGACCCACTTGCGCCTGTCGCTCAACAGCCCGCCCCTGCCCTCGGTCAGCTTGCAGCACTCCACGAACTCCATCACGACCTTGCTCAAGGTCGCGGCCGGCGGAAGGGTCTCCCGCAGGAAGTACTTGAGCACTTCCGCCAGTATCCTCTTGCTCTCCGTCGACACGGAGAGCTTCAGCGTCTTGTAGAGCAGCGTGATCCTCTCCATGGAGCCCATCAGCACGTCGGGGTCCATGTTGGACACGTCAGACGCCATTTTGGGGGACAGCAGGCGGCTGTCCACTGAGCAAGGGTCCAGATTGAGAGGGGTGAGGTATTGGGTCAAATAAGGCCAATTGAGTAAAAAATAACCATTGAGAACCTCCTCATTTTGAAATCGGTTAATAATTTAACAGCCTATACACATCCCACTGCTAGGCAAAGGCCTCATGGAGTATTATAGTCCACCAGGCGGCCCCGCTGCGGATTGGCGGACATCACATATATTCGAAATATTTTTTTTGTTATTATTTCGAAAATATGCAGGTTTCCTCACGATGTTTTCCTTCACCGCTGAGCACGTGATAATTCAGCACTTGAAATCAACAACTCCATCGGTGCCAGCACCGAGGATCGAACTCAGGTTGCTCGAGTATATTGAATTAAAGGCGAGCGCCCGGCCACTGAGCTATCGCGGCTCAATGAAATAATACAATTCTTGCAGAATAACTTAACTCATCATGATAGGGCTACGCAGATACGATTTCCAACAGTATACGAGGACTCAGACTAACCGGGAAGGACCTTTTTATAGAAGTTATGTGAGAAAAGCTTTAGTAGGTAAGTTTGGTACTGGTGAGTGTGGTACTTACCAGTAAACAGATGCACCATAAGAATTATGATCGCGTGTTGCTCCGAGTATTTGCCCATATTGTCCAGGAGTTTCTCTATTAGGCCGTTCTTCAGGTCCTTGGGCAGTATCTGCTGCCTGAGCACCGATGTTATACCCTGGGGCGTATCAAACAAAATATGATTATAAATAGAGATGGATATTGAGTAAAACAGAGAGAGAGAGAGAGAGAGAGAGAGAGAGAGAGAGAAATGAAGAAGAAAAAGAAAAATGTGTAATAGATAGAAGGAGAAAGAGATACGTACGGGAGTGGGTTTTTTGTATGTGAGAAGGTGGCAATCAAGCTGACGGTTCATCTGATGTTAAGTGGTTACGGCGTCGGGGGTCGTGGGTTCGATTCCCACACGGGACAACTGTTTATGTGGTGTTTGTCCGCGTGAAATTTATGTTTGTAAATCGTCCTTACAACACAGGATAATATTATTCTAAAGTAAGGACAAAGTTTTATTAATAAGAAAAAAAATGTAATGTATATAATTAATTTAATTTTTAGTTCAAGGCTCTGTACTGAAGGTGGAACTGGAAGTGAGACTCAGACTGAGAAGTTTCAGGATTATTCTTTATTTTTTATTGGATTTTTATGAAATTTTATATTTATATTTGGTAGGTCTAAGAATCGGTCGTCATATTATATTTCTCATGCCCCTAAGTGAGAAGGGTGGTGCACACCATTCGGAAGAACTAGGTATAATTTATATGGCAAAACAACGCATGCTGGGTCAGCTAGAAAATAAATAAGTTTTTTTTATGGAGAAAACGGGCAAACCAGTAGGAGGCTCACCTGATGGTAAGTGATCACCGCCGCCCATGGACACCTGCAACACCAGAGGGCTCACAAATGCTTTGCCGGCCTTTCAGGAAAGTGTATGCTCTCTTCTTGAAGGTTCCCAGGTCGTGAGGGTACGGAAAGATCGCCGGCGGCAGCTGGTTCCACAGAGCGATTGTGCGAGGCAAGAAATGCCTTGAAAAAGTAAAAAGTACGCAAGTATAACTCACCCTGACAACGAGTTCGGTGCAATAGTGTTTCGGGTGGCTGAGGACGAAGTCAGCGGCGATCGTGATGAGATCAGGGTTGCCCAACTCCACTAAGGTGAAGAGGACCGTCCAATACAAACTCTGCTCGTACAGCGAGATCCTGGAATTGACGCGGGTTGTTTAATATTATTTTTACGTTCTCTATTGAAGATAAATACTGTTACGAACACACAAAGGAACTAACGCCATCTAGCGTCAACTAGTAAAACCACTAACGTACAAAGACTACATAAAACCCCCTATTCAATACTAGATGGCGTTAGAGGAACTGCTGTGGAACTATAGTCTCGAAAACCGGGTACATTCGCGAACTTTCCGGAATCACGATCATGTTCGCGCATGTCGGTTACGTTCCAGAAAGGAACTTTCTGGAAAGTCTGGGGCTCGTCTCAGCCCATATAAAAAGCCGCAGAGAGGCGAGACAGACAGTTCAGTTTGAGCTACCTTCGAGGCGACTTCGGAGTGAAAACTAGTGACCAAGAGCGATACCAGTGAAACCTACGACTTGGCTACAACCTAGGACATCGTTAGTGCTTAGTGTTTGGACCTAGTGCTTTGTGTTGGACCTAGCGCTAGTAAATAAAGTCTTCAAAAGAGTCAGCAGGTCTTTCTCTCCAAATCCTTCGAACCCCTAACACGTAACAATACCATGGTTAAGACCAGCCAACCGCCATCAAAATGGATACGCTAAGTAAAATTTCTTCAACATCTACCCTTTAAACAAAAAAAATACAAAAAGGGTACCACGCAACAGTGTTCGCTGAATGGGCAGGTCCGTCAGGGCAAGTACCATGACCCCACAGAAGACCGGCGTGCAGTAGAAGTGTTACACTTTTCGTCCGGTGAGTGAGGTGGCCGGAGCCTACTTTATTAAAAGGGTAGCAACGCACCTGTAACCCTACGGATGACGGTTATCACTTAATATCAGGTACACTGCCAGCTCGTTGGCCACTTTTTCTCATAAAACAATAGTAGCAGTAGTACTTGCAGTGAATGGACAAACGATTTTTTCAGCTAAGTATGGTCGCTCCTTGGTAAATGCCTCTCTTGCTACGAATGAGAATCTCAAGAGCCGCTTACTTGGAATGCGGCATTATGTAAGAGGAATTTTTGAGTGCACCCTAAATACCGCTAAAAGTGCGGCTACATGTACTGTAAAAGGCACCTTGAATGCGGCATTAGGCAATGCTGAGGAGGAATTTCTTCGAGGAGTGTGATTACTGTGAGTACTACTGAGGAAGCCTTTCTTTGGTGTCAGACATTTGGTGTGTGATTACTGTGAAGAGACATATGCGACGGGGGCTGTCTACGAGGCACTAACTTGTAATGCGGCATTAGGCAATGCTGAGGAGGCATTAAGTCGGAGTATGATTACCGCGAAGAGGCATATGCGCCGGTAGGGCTGTCCACGATTCACTCACTTGGTGTCGGGCACCAGGTACTGGCGCACTGCCACGTTCAGCTGCGCGACCAGCTCGTGGCAGCCCTGGTCCCGGGCGAGCGCGCGCCCGCTGAGCTGCAACAGGCAGCCGTGCAGCGCCGCCTGCCGCAGAGGGGCGTAGCTCGAGCCCAGAGACTTGAGCAGCTTCTGGTGCACCGTCGACAGCTCCTGTGGGATTTTTTTTGTGTGCAAGTTGCCAAGCGAGCAGGCGGTTCACCTGATGTACGAGCGCGTGCAGCAAGTGGCTCGCTTACAAAGGAAAACAACCTTTTCTGTATGTGACGGAAGTCTTATAATCGCCTGCGCCGATGGAGCCACAAGACAATCCACGCGAGTGCCAAGCAAAATCCGCTTCACTGCTCGCGACTTAGAGCTCAGATTAGGATGCGCTAGTGTGCGGAGCTTACATGCGCCGCGTGGGGGGGGTGGAGTACGGGCAGGCAGACGGCGAGCGCGTGCAGCAAGTGGCTCGCTTTGAAAGGAAAACAACCTTTTCTGTATGTGACGGAAGTCTTATAATCGCCTGCGCCGATGGAGCCACAAGACAATCCACGCGAGTGCCAAGCAAAATCCGCTTCACTGCTCGCGACTTAGAGCTCACTAACGGAAGTCTTATAATCGCCTGCGCCGATGTAGCTACAAAACACCACACGAGTGCCAAACAAAATCCGCTTTACTGCTCGCTACTTAGAGCTGAGATTAGGATGCGCTAGTGTGCGAAGCTTACATGCGCCGCGTGGGGGGGATGGAGCACGGGCAGGCAGACGGCGAGCGCGTGCAGCAAGTGGCTCGCTTACAAAGGAAAAGAACCTTTACTGTATGTAACGGAAGTCTTATAATCGCCTGCGCCGATGGAGCCACAAAACAATCCACGCGAGTGCCAAGCAAAATCCGCTTCACTGCTCGCTACTTAGAGCTGAGATTAGGATGCGCTAGTGTGCGGAGCTTACATGCGCCGCGTGGGGGGGATGGAGCACGGGCAGGCAGACGGCGAGCGCGTGCAGCAAGTGGCTCGCTTACAAAGGAAAACAACCTTTTCTGTATGTGACGGAAGTCTTATAATCGCCTGCGTCGATGGAGCCACAAAACAATCCACGCGAGTGCCAAGCAAAATCCGCTTCACTGCTCGCTACTTAGAGCTGAGATTAGGATGCGCTAGTGTGCGGAGCTTACATGCGCCGCGTGGGGGGGATGGAGCACGGGCAGGCAGACGGCGAGCGCGTGCAGCAAGTGGCTCGCTTACAAAGGAAAACAACCTTTTCTGTATGTGACGGAAGTCTTATAATCGCCTGCGTCGATGGAGCCACAAAACAATCCACGCGAGTGCCAAGCAAAATCCGCTTCACTGCTCGCGACTTAGAGCTCAGATTAGGATGCGCTAGTGTGCGGAGCTTACATGCGCCGCGTGGGGGGGATGGAGCACGGGCAGGCAGACGGCGAGCGCGTGCAGCAGTGCGCGCGTGGCGGCCGGCCAGTGCGCACGCGCCGGCTGCGCCGCCAGCTGCGCCCCCGCCCACGCCCAGTGTGCGCCGCTGCTGAAGGCGACGCACGCGCCCCCTATGGCGGACAGCAGGGCGGTGCGCGCCGCCAGACCGGTCGCGGCCTGTGACACGTGCTTTATTAATTCGGTTTGACCAAGCATCGTAATATGTATGTGTTATAAATAGCCTTTTTTAGGTAAACACAGAATTGAAAGAATTAAATACAATCATAAAAGAACAGTAAGTAAACGCTAACGCTCAAGTTAAATTCTCAGTAAATTAAATCTTTCAGAACACGAGCTTACGTTGTATGCGAAGATCTGAACGTCTTCTAGCCGATTTAAGGAATACATTTGATGATTAAATTGAAAATTAAATATGTCGAAGACATGTGAAGACTGCCAATCCGCAGTGGAATAGCACTCCAGTTAGTGGCAATGGGACATTTAAAGATTATTACATATAATGGTTCCTCACGATGTTTTCCTTCATGCTGAGCACAAGATAAATCGGCAATTAAAATTGACAGTTTCATTGGTGCCGGCACCGGAATTTGATCTCAGGTTGCTCCATGGCAACCAGCATATCAACACAATTTCAGCCAGCATATCAAGTCGATTGCAACCAACATATCAACTCTATGGCTACCAGCACATCATCTTCGAACCTCACCTTCGGTTCCAGCATCTCGGTGGTTACGTCCATGAGGAGCTGGAGGCAGCTGTTCACGTCCACCTCCCCCCGCTTCCTCTTCCTCTTCACCGCGCGGCGCACTTTGAAAGGCGCCTCGTCCGTCATGTCTGCGGGCGAATTTCAACTTTAATCGGTAACGCGCAAAGCTCAATATCATTTGCATCGGTGAACAGGCAACGATTAGGATAAAAGAAAACCTTCCTTACTACCGTATAAGACATATTTTCGGATTGAATATGAAATTCGAAAAAGTCAGATTACTAGTGAAACCAAACGTGGTAATTAATATTTTATTTATTAATAAACATCGTCATCCTCATCATATTTAGCACTAAATGTAAAAATCATCAGCATCATATTTACTAGCCTATGCTCGAACTCTGTAATTTATGGTATTAAACATAAGGTCTAATTTCGTTAGTAATGCGTAAACAATTGAACCGTATTCTATCGTGATAAGATTTATATTTGCCTAAAAGCTGTTCCCATACTATGTCCACTTGAACTTGATAACATTATGATAAGGGTCATAATTGCTCGTAAACTGTTCGGATACTATGCCCAATTAAACTTTATTCCAATGTGATAAGATTCATATTTGCTCGTAAGTTTCTCGCATACTATGTCCAATTGAACTCTATTCCAACGTGATAAGATTCATATTTGCTCGTAAGTTTCTCGCATACTATGTCCAATTGAACTCTATTCCAACGTGATAAGATTCATATTTGCTCGTAGGCTTCTCGCATATTATGTCCAATTGAACCTTATTCCATCGCGATAAGGTTCGCGTTCCGTAAGCCGTTCTCGTACAGTCGCGCTCACCCGAGGCCAGCTTGAGGTAGTCGGTGCTGAACTGGGCGTAGTGGTAGCCGTCGCAGCCGTCAGAAGAAAGCGGAACCCGCTCGAGGTTCACGTCCTCGAAGATTCTGTACGCGGTTGTACCGACGAGCAGGTTACGGAGGCGTTGCATGCTGCGAACAAATACAGTCCGTGACAGACGCTTCAAAGAAAATTTACGGCCCATACATGTCCTACTGCTGCACTGCGAGTTGGCAGACTGCGTATATCTCTGAGATATACCTAATATGAGTAAAAACTTATTATATATTTGAATGATATATATATATATATATATATATATATATATATATATATATATATATATATATATATATGTGTGTGTGTATATTTATTTCTTATTCGGAAACACTCCGGTATCGAAAACATGTTTTAATTAACCGCCGAGCAAGTGATAAGTCAGCACTTGTTAAAAGTAAAAAGTAAAAGTGTTTAGTTCCATTTTAATTTTTGCAAATTCACCCATCGGCCACGGCTAGATGGCGCAGCGGTGCGTGCAGCATTACCCTACCCACTGAGGCCTTCCCAAACATCAATGTACAAGTATTTTCAAGGAAACTCACCCATCGGTGAGGTGCAGATGGCGCCGCGGTGCGTGCAAAATGCCGCCGCCCCTCAGCCGCGGCGCGGTGGTGACCAGCAGCTGCGTGATGCCCCTCACCGCCCAGTGGGTGCCGTTGCCCTGCAGCGCCCCCAGCAGCCCCACCCAGATCTCCTCGAACTGCTTCTTCGACGACCAACCTATAAGATTCACTCTGAAAAATTTCCCCACGCCTTTAGCCAAACCTATATATCAGGAAAACGCGATGGCGGCTTTATAATAAGATTTCGTTATTGAGACTGCTTTGCTTTATTTCATCGCATATAACTTTTGTTTCAAAAAATAAAAATAAGTATATAATATGTTTATAATATTTAAAGATACCCTACGTAGAACCTCTGTCCCGAACAATTCAATTTCCTTAACTAAGATATGAGTTTTTAATACATTTTCCACGTAATTTGCCTAAAAATTATATTTTGTGGAAAATGTATTGGGTTAATTCCTACATGTACGCATCCTTATAAGGCATTAATGAATTGTTATTAAAATACCCTAATTCAAATAAATTGAGACTCCGCATCCGAAGCAATGCTCGATCAGTGACCTAGGGTCATGTCAAACTTGACCCTAGTGTAACAGGAGGTAGTGTTCCAGTAACGTCATAGGTTCGTGACCAGCGGGACCCTTAAATGTATGACGCTCACCTGAACAGGAAGGACTCCAAGACATCCATGTCCTGCAGCGCTTGGAGGGGCAGATCGATCTTCTGTATCACTTCGTTCTTCACAGTCACCTCCACGTAGGACCACGCCAAGGGCGGTATGAGCGCTATGTTGGTGACCATCTCCAGTCTGAAATAAGAGAATACGCAAAGGGTTAACATGACAGTAGTGAGATTCAGTAAAGGCAATTCAAAGTTTGTTTGATTTTTACTTGGGTAGGACCACGCAGCAGCCTCGGCTGTTGCAAGAATGGGCAAGCTCGTCTGGGTAAGTACCACGACCTCACAGAAGACCGGTGTTAAGTGGAAGTATATATATAATACTTTCGCGTTTCGTCTGGTGAGTGATAGCCGGAGCACAAATTCCAAAAGGTTGTCAAAGCATCTGCAACCAGCGGCGGTATATCCTTAACATCAGGTGAACCGCCTCCTAGCTTGACAAATTTTCACATAAAGAAAGCGAGCTCGCCATTCACGTGATGTTAAATGATAACCACCGCCTATGGACATTAGCAATACCCGTAGGGTTGCAGACGCGTTGCAACCTTTTAATAAAGTGGGCCCCGGCTACCTCACTCACCAGGGGAAACAATTATAACTTCTACTTTCTCTTCAGTGAGGTCGTGGTACTTCCCCGGACGGATCTGCCCATTCGTGCAACAGCTAAGACTGTTGCTTGCCCTTACCAAAGTTAAAACTTAACATATAATTTGATGAGTCCGTGGCGCAGTTGCCAAGGCATTGGCTTCGGCGTCGGGGGTCGTGGGTTCGATTCTCACACGGGACAACTATTTGTGTGACCCACAGTACATGTTTCGCATCTGGGTGTTTGTCCGCGTGAAATTTATGTTTGTAAAACATCCTTACAACACAGGACAATGTTTTATGAAGAAAATAAATCCTTACTATATATAATATTATAAAGACGAACTTTGTATGTATGGATGGATGTTTGTTACTCTTTCACGCAAATACTACTGAATGGATTCTAATAAAACTTTACAATAATATAGCTTATACAGCAGAATAAGACAGGCTATAATTTATATTCATATTTTATGTGTATCTGTCTTTCTGTCTCAATGCGACTCCTTCAGCCTAATCTACGCAGACGTAGTCGCGGGCAGCAGCTAGTAAAAAGTAAAATTTAAACTACTTCCCTAATTTTCCTCACCTGCACAGACTAACGAGCAAGCTCTCAATGGGTCGGCTGAATCTCTTCGGTAGGACGGTGCCGTTGCTCCCCGTGCAGAAGTTCTGCTCCCAGTACTGCACCATGGTGATGAGCTTGTCGCATGTCAGCACAAAGTCCGACTTGGGGCCGGCGTCTTGGGCGGGCATGTACTGCTTGGGCACCAGCGGCTTGGTATCCTGAATTGTGCAAGGGTTGAGTTTGGTTGACAGTCAGTTAGCTGTTGTCAGGGCCAAACAACAGCTTCGGCTGTTGCACGAGTGGGCAGGCTCAGCCTGGGGTGAGCGTTTCTCTTTAGGACACATTCTTTTTACACAACGTTCTCTAGTCCCCAAGTAAGCAATACTTGTACTATGGGTACTAGAAAACTGATAGACATACTTAAACATTCTTTTCTTTTATAAATATATACACAGACATATATAAAAATCCAGACACTAGAAAAACACTATGCTCATCACACAATATTTTTCCAGTAGTGGGGATCGAACCCACACCCTCTGGCGGAGAAGGCAGGTACACTACCGACTACGCCATTCGGGTCGTCAGCGTGAAGTATTAAATTTTCGCGTTTCGTCTAGTGAGTGAGGTAACCGAGAACATTTTTAAGTGAGAAGGTCGGTTAAGCTAATGGTATTTGATAATCGCCGCCCTGCAACAACCCGAAGGTTTGCAGATGCGTTGTCACCTTTTAAACGACTTCAAAACGAGGAGGTTCTCAATTCGACTGTGTCTCGTATTGGACATAAATGCAAACACAAAGTGTCTGGATAATTTACATTTATTTTGAAATTACTTCACAGTGAAATTAATATAAAAATAAGTGAGAGCGCAACGTTGTCCGTTACAAAGTTGAATGATTTGTGTCGCAGGGAGATACTATTTTACAGACGTTCAAATATGATTTTATAACGATGCGTTGTTGAGTCTGTGCAATAAATTGCTTCATAAAAACTTGGGCGCAGACAGACTGTATTTTTTTTATATGTTACCTCATAACTTTCGGCTGAGTGAAGCAATTCTGATGATTCTTTTTTATTTGAAAGTTTGTGCTTCCCGTGTGATTCCAAACTGATCTCATTGGTATTGGATCTAGGGTTCCGGAGGTACTTAGGGGAACTCCTGAAAATCCTTACTAATATTATAAACGCGAAAGTTCATATGTACGGATGGATGATTGTTACTCTGTTACGCAAATACTACTTAATGGGGTTTTTATGAAACTAAAATAATATAGTTTATACATCAGAATAAGACAAACTATATTTTGTATTGTATATCTGTCTTTCTTATTTTACGCAGACGTAGTCGCGGGCAGCAGATAGTCAATTATTAAATTAATACAGAGCGAGATATTTGAAGTCGGTTTTAGTTTTCGTTAGTAAAAATAATGGTTATAATATGGTTTCCATTTTAAGGGTTGCCACCATGGAGTGAGGGAGCTATTACTATTCAAAAGAGGAGAAAGAGAGAATGCGTCGTGATAGTGACCTTGACCAAATACTTGAGGACGGCGTAAAGGCAGCTTATGGCGGACTGCGTGCGGTTGGCGTTGCTATCTGTGTTCAGCTGCGACCAGATCTCGTCGAAGCTCAGCGCGTTGGCTACGTTCGCCACCGCGACCAGCACAACTTGATCCACCACGACGCACTCCGCCTCGGCGTTGGCGGCTCTGAACGAGACCTCGGCGTTTAGAGGCGTCTCCACTTCTTCCTTGTTCTTGATCAGGAACGAGATGTACTGGAGGGAGAGCACGCAGAGTATCGCCACGTTCCGCGTCAGACTGGCCGGGAGGATGCTCTCTATGCACTTCTCCAGGAGGTCGCAGTCCGCCTGGTCGAGGGCGGCTATGGTGCGGCCGAGACAGCCCAGGAAGCCGGCGAGGGCCGCGTGGACGGTCATCAACTCCTGGTGGAACAGCTTGTCCTGGAACACCTGGTGGCAGCGCCTCGTGTATCTGTCCATCGTCTGCTCGACGTTCAGGCTGAAGTTCTCCGACTGGCTCAGCGGCCGGTTCTGCTTGGGGAACAGCCTCAGGATCTCGCCCATCGACCTGTCCAGGGCTAGAAGGGAGACTTGGTACAGATCAGGCATATCGGGCACGGTGAGCTCGATCTCCTCCTCCGCCAGCTTCAAGTTGCCGAAGCCGTCACCCTTCTCCGTCTCGTTTATTGGAATGAAGAACTGGGACCTCGCCTCCCTGCTGTCGCTCCTCTTGAACACGTGGAGGGAGTTCACCACGTTCAGCCGGTTGCTGTCCATCGATGACGTCATCTCGGCCCCCTCCCTGACGAGCTCCCTCTCCCGCGCCGCCTCTATCTCCATCTCCTTCGCCTCGCGCACCGAGAGGATGCTCAGGAACTCCCTTATGAAGCTGTCGCAGGCGACGGTGAAGCACGAGGAGAGGATTCTCCTGTCAAACTCCGGGCACGACATGACAGTTTGCAGGTCCTCCCTCGCCAGGTTGGACAGGACCAGGGCGAGGTCGTTGTAATTCGACAGCCTCGTGAAGGAGCAGCTGGTGCGACACCTGCAAGGAGATTTCTTCGCTGGAAACTGATACAATGGTGGAAAATGAATGTTACGATTTTAAGATTAAAATTTTTCCTTATTTACTTTCGCTTCCCATGATTATCTATCTACACATTACACTCTGTAAGGTCAATAGGTGGGAAATGGGTTAACTGACACGTTAAGATTTGATTCCTCGTTTTACTGTTCTTACAGGTAGGCAGGCAGACAGACAGACAGACGGACAGGTCCCGTTTCACCCTTTGGGTACGGAACCCTGAAAACTCAACCGCTCACCTTATTTTGACCTCGTTCAGCAGCCAGCCGGGGTCAACGTTGGTGGTGAGGACGTTCTGGGGGTTGACCACGCGGTCCAGGGTCAGCTCCAGCGGGGACAGGTCGAAGCAGCTGCTGGCCAGCCGGTTCAGCTCAACCACCAGCGCTGGGTATCTGAAAGATTCAAATGGCGATAGTTATACGTTTGTATAAACAATTTTATTAGAAAGAAGACGTTAATTCACGTTCTAACAAAAAAATGGAATTACACAGATAACATATTGTTGCACAAATTAAAATAAATGAATTATTAATTATTTATAAATAAATAAACAATTAATAATTCATAATAATGAAACGAAGCATAAACTAATTATTGCGTATAAAATTTTTTTGAAGTTATACTTCTTTTAGCGCGTTTGGGATAGGTGGTGATAGTCAAATTCTGCTCAATATCAATAATGGAGTTACCATGGCAACAACAACTTTTTAACATTTACCTATAATCCGAAACTATTAAAATTTTTTTCATGTCAAAGTTGCCAAGCGAGCAGACGGTTAACCTGATGTTAAGTGAATACCGCCGTCCATGGACATCTGCCACACCCGAGGGTTGCAGATGCGTTGAAGGCCTTTGAAAATTGGACTCCGGCCACCTCACTCACCAGACGATACGCGAAAGTATTATACTTCCACTTTACGCCGGTCTTCTGTGAGGTCGTGGTACTTACCCGGACGAGCCTGCCCATTCGTGCAACAGCCGAGGCTGCTGCGTGGCCCAACCACCGCCTACTTAACACACGAACAAAGAGTACTGGCACAGTGGATAAAATATTTACTTACCATTTCATTCGTTACGCTAAAGAAGTATAGCTTCCTACGTGCGTACATAACTTAGTGCAAATTCCGTAGCTATTTGCTTTCAGCTAACAGTTTGGCGACCGCTTATTCATAGTTACAGATTATTGTGTGAATAAATAATAATAATTGAGAAAACATCACAACAGATATGTAAATACATACATTTCAACCTACCGTATGTGTACCTTGTCCCTTTGTAGAGATTCCATCGCGACCTGCAAATCTTCCTTAGAGAGCTGCAGGCTTATCTTGTCGGCAGCAAGTTCTGCCAACATCTTGCACCTTTCCATCGCTAAGTTGGCAAATCTAAAATGGCAAAATGGCAAATATGGAAAAATATGGAACGCTTTATCCCCATGACTGAGAATATAGATTCCTTTTCCATTAAAATCGCTTCAGATTAATGTTTTTAAACGCCGATACATTCAATTTTCGTCATTCAACTTTCTTAACGTTTTCCCATTACATATCTTATGTGTTAGATAAAGTGCAGTAGCACAGTGGAATCAAACGCGAACGAAATAGGTGGTCGCCAGTTCGATTCCGCTATAACATATATTTTTGTGACCCACAGATACTAGTTCCAGATCTGGGCGTTCATTCCCAAGGAAGGTTGACGTCAGGCAAGCGGCCAGACAAAAAAATCTTAGCCCCGACCGATAAAAACATTTTTCACGTGTGTTTAAACTATATGTGTGATCCACAGATAAAACGGTTCGAATCTGGGTGATAGTCTACGACAAATTTGTCTTTACAAAATGTCCCTGCAGGATAATGTTATATTATTATCCTAGAGTAAGGACATTGCTTAATAATATTGTTGTGGTAGGGCTGTTGCACGAATGGGCAGGTCCGTCCAGGGAAGTACCACGGCCTCGTACAAGACCGGTGCGAAATAGAAGTGTTACACTTCTGCGTTTCGTCTGGTGGGTGAGGTAGCCGGGGTCCACTTTTGAAAAGGTGGCAACGGCTCAACCCTACTGGTATTTTTTTTTATCTTCATTCAAATAGACGCTTGCGCGTTCTTATGAATCGTCAAATTTTACATAAAACATTACACATAGAGGATCGTAAGGTACCACCGGTTCGGAAAGCAGTTTCTGTTGAGAAGAGACCGGCAAGAAATTCAACAGTTGCTCTTTTTCAAAGGTATGACTTTACAATATAAAATACCGGTATAATAGTCTTATTCCCTACGCGAGTATCAACAGTATTAACTTCACACACTGGCGTCGTCGAGATATTCCGCAATAGTGTAATATGCTTTAACCATAAGTTGAATTTTGATTTTACGTTTAAATTGATCAAGCGGCAGACTTAATATCGACTGTGGACGTATCGCACTTAACATCAGGTGAACCGCCAGCTCGGTTGGCACCTTCTCACGTGAAAGAATAATTTATAAAAAAAAAACCAACCTAATGCCGACGGCGGGCTCGAGTTTGCCGACGGTGCGGCAGATGAGGAATATCAGCGGTCCCGACTGGCTCTCGTGGCAGAGCGAGACAACTTTGTACGCGTTCAGCGCAAATTCGCCCTGCGAACGCGAAAAATAAATCATTAAAACATAACAAACCAGCACATATTAAGAACCATGCCGCGATAGCTCATTGTCAATTCTATTCAAATACACTCAAGCGACCCCAGTTCTGTTATACATGCTCAACGGTGAGGGAAAACATCAGTGTCCTGGACACCTCCGTATTATCGAAATCATAACAAAACGAATAAATGTTTTAATAAAATAAAGTAATTTTTTTTTTAAAGAAATTATTTTCGGAAGTGGGTAAACATCGTGAGCAAACCTCCATATTGTCGAAATGATAACAAATAAATACTTTTAATTAACTATAATGCGTAATTTGTCTTTTAGAAATTATTTTCCCAAGTGGCTATTTTATTATAATATTTACAAAAAATATTTTATAAATAATATATATTATATTATTTTTATATATATTTTTTTTTTTTAGGAAATGCATCTAGCGATCTTGGCACCATGCCGCGTGAATTAGGTTTATTAGATAATATGTAACTTTAGATGGATTTAATCTTGTAAATATTAGATCAATAAAGATTAACACAATATTATATTTATTAAGAAGTAATGCAACCCAAGCAATTCCAACACACCTTTAGGCAGCCCTGACATCTGGCGGCGATCGCCTGCAACAACAGACCAGAGGCAACAGAGTTCTCTTGCACTCTCGCTATAAGATTCTGCACTATCTCCTCTCCGTGCTGGCTTATCAATATGTGGACTCTGTTCACCAGCAGCCAAGAGAGGTGCACGGCTTGGGTCAGGCCGTTCTCCACCTGTTAGTATACGTGGAGAAATTTAGTTTTTTTTTTTTTTTTTGTTTCATGTGATTACATGGCAAACGAGCTGGCGGTTCACCTGATGTTCAGTGATAACCGCCGCCCATGGACATTTGCAACACCTGTAGGGTTGCAAATGCGTTGCCATCTAATTTTTTAGTTTTGTTTGCAAAGGTTTTAAATATTGTCGCCATAAATGTTTAAATTTTACTTATAACGTTAAATTAATGTATTTTCTGAGTGGGAGATGCAGGCAGCCGTGACACAGTTTATACTAGTATGGCTGTCGACGTTTACCTTTCAATGTAATTGATGCTACTTTTAAATAGTGTTAGTTATTACGTAAAATTAGTTGAGTGAATAAACAAATATTATTATTATTATTATCTTTACATAAAGTGGGCCCCGGCTACCTCACTCACCGCACTTCCACTTTACGCCGGTCTTCCGTGAGGTCGTGGTACTTACCCGGACGGACCTGCCCATTCTTGCGACAGTGAACACTGTTACGTGGCCCTACCACAGTTTTCGTCGGTGCGGCAATTAGCCATTTAGCTTAGCGGTTAAAGCGTCTAGCCGCCAATATGGAAGACGTGCGTTCGACTCCCACAGCGGCGGTGAAACTTTCTACAAATTTTAATACAATACGGCTGGTGGTTGCTGAACCGTAGAGTTCGAATCTGCGGGTAGTGGGTTCGGTTTTCAACCGGGACGAGTATTTGTGCGACGGATAGGCCATTCGCGCATTAACAGAGGCTGCTCCGTGGCTCTATCACATTAAATTTTACGACTCTTAGTATTCATTATGATAGACAGTTGAACTTGAAATGATGCAAAATATAGTAACCGTTAATATAACAATTAAACGAACTATAATTTAATAGGCAGGGGAACCGATACATTCGATTAACGGCTGTGTACTCTTTAAATGAACATAGGGACAAATGGACAAGTGATTTAAGGTATATACTTCTAACGCCCGGTTTCTGAAACACTGATAATCGTAAAATTTAACTAATCAGCTGTCAAATTTGAAAATACATTTGACAGCTGAATAGTTAACTTGTACGATGATCAGTGTTTCAGAAACCGGGCGTTGATATGACAACAAGATGCAAAATACGCAAAGCTTCGAAATACTTACAAAATGCTCGCAGTAGGCGAGCACCGAGGCAACTTGCAGTATATCGTCTGCGTCTGCCGGTAGCCGATGCCACTGCTTCTCCGAGAGGAAATTCAGCCTAAGAAAAAGAGCAGACACTAAGAAATGATGCTTTGCACGGACGATGGAGAAGAAGAATAATATGTTGCCGGATAATTTTATACCCAGAGTTATCTACTCCCAAACGAAGCAGAGCTTGCACTGGGTAGTAGGTAACTGTTAAGCATATATATATATTTTTGTAACGAAATAGTTATTATAGTTATATAAACATCCAGACATTAGATAAATACTGTGTTCATTACTTTTCCAGTGATGACGATCTAATTGCGCAAGAGATTTTTAGATCGAGATTTGAAATACCTTTTTCATGTTTTTTTTTTTCTAACAAAAGAAAATTGAACCTTTACTAGTCATTTAAAATTCTTGCCGAAATACAGAAATCGGACATAGCTCAATTACTTTTCCGTGCACACATTCGCGTTTCGTTCGTTCGTTGTTCACTTGATCAGCAGGTGCGTCCAAGTTAACTAAAGCGTGGTAGTTACGAAATTGAAATTTTTTGTATTGGTTCAAGTACTCCCCCGTGCAACTCATTCATTGACTCATTCGTTCAGCGTTCACTTGATCAGCAGGCGCGTTTAGTTAACTAAAGCTTGGACGCTAACGAAACGTAATAAATCAGTCATGGTACAATTGCTTTTCATTCATTCATTCATTCACTTCGATTCGAGTTCCGTTCACTTATCGCTCACCTGATTGCGTTTCCGTTCAACTCATTCACTCATTCGTTCACCGTTCAGCTGATCAGCGGGTGCATCCAATTAAATAAAGGCGTAAACAAAACGTAATAAATCGGTCAAGGTACAATTACCTTCCGTTCAACTCACTCGTTCGTTCACTCGTTCGCGCTCCGTTCGTTAGCAGTTCACCTGATCAGCAGATGCGTCCAGTGCACGGTGAGCAGGGGCAGCCGGTGCGCGGCCCTGAGGCAGATCGCGTTGAGCTCGTCCAGCGGAATGTTCTCCTCGGGACTGTAGAGGCCCGTGTTCAGGCCGCTCTGCTCGTTGTGGAGCAGATTCTGCGCGGTCTTCGCCGTCAGGGGGAAGTGGCAGCCGTCTGCACAGCAAAAAGTGCGGTGGGGCCATGGTCTTCGTTGTTGCACGAATGGGCCGCTCCGTCCGGGCGAGTACCACGACCTGTTATATTTCTGCGTTTCGTCTGGTGGGTGAGGCAGGGGCTCACTTTATTAAAAGGTCGGTCGATTGATTTGAAATTTGGACGGAAGATTGCTGCGTATTTATATAGATATTATAGAAATTCGTTCCTCTCGCATCTTTTTTGAATGGAGAAACGGATATATAATTTGGAAGACACCATTAACACTACCCACTTCAACCAACGTATAATAAAACATATTTGAACCGATGTGTATCGATGATTAAAACAAAATGCCAAAAGCAAACAATTTTGCGCTCACTGAATTATTAAAAGACTTATATGGATCGTCAATATAAATACAACTGACTTCCGTCACTTTGTGTAATCGATACTCGCAACTGACACGTATTCGAACCCGAAACCGATCGCAAACGCAACCGCACTAACCCGTCAAATGAATCATATGCTTCACTTGCACCACGACGCCCACGCACACCGCGTACATCAGCCGGTCGACGTCCGCCTCCGCCTCCGCCTCCGCCTCCGCTCCCGCCTCCGCCTCCGCGCCCGCCCCCGCGCGGCGCCCGCCCGCCTCGCGCACGGCGTACGTGAGCAGCCGCAGCAGGTAGCGGGCGAGCAGCACGTCGGGCGGCAGGCCGGCGCAGCTGTCGTCCAGCCCGCCCACGTCGAGCGGGTCCCGGGCGCTGGGCGGGGCGCTGAAGAAGAGCGCGCTCGGCGAGACGCGGCTGCCCTTCAGGTAGTCCACGGAGAGCAGGACCTCGCTCTCGGGCATCAGCGTCAGCGCGCGCTTGAGCAGCACCAGCACGGTGGCGAGGTAGCGCAGCTTGTGCTTGCGGGGCGCGGTCTCCTGGGCGGGACGGGCGAAGGCCGGTTATGGAGTAATTGCATGGGATCCGTAATAACTATTTTTTTTTCGGACGAAAAACGAAACCGACTTCGAATATCACGATTTTCTGGAGTTCCCTAATGTATGTCCGGAACCCAAGATCCAATACCAATGAAATCAATATGGAACCACATGGGAATAATGGAAAGAAAGGGAAGCTTTCGAATAAAAACAGAATCATCAAAGAACAGAATCATCACTGAGTCAAAAGTTGTGAGGGGAAAAAACATTAAAAAAAATACAGTGGTCACTTGGCGACATCTCACCGACACAATGTGTAACCGGTGACGTGTCACCAGTGCCACCAATGACGTACGGACTAGTTTTGGACTCATCATGTGGTGGGTGGGATTAGTTCGCGGTCGCGCCCGGTCTCGACTTGTGTGTTGTGTGTCTGTCACTTGTTGTTTCGTCAATGCGAGACGGGGCGCGGTACTAGTTCAGCCGTCCTATTATTACGTTAATAATGTCTCAAAAACGAAAGTTTCAATAATTTTATAAACTCTTCCTTTTCGAAAGTCGGTTGACAAGACGACGTCTCGTCTTCATAGTGATTCCGCAAAGGCGGTCACCTGGTCGGGCGGCGCCTGGAAGAGCACGCCGAGCATCCGCTCGACGCGCGGCTGGTCGAGCATCGAGTCGCGGCTCAGGGCGGCCACGAAGCGCTCCAGGGCGGCCACCGCGCCGCGCTGCTCCAGCGTGACGCTGCGCCGCTCGAGCAGCTTGAGCAGCGTGTCCGCGCCCAGCTCCGACCAGCGGCCGCAGCCCTCCGGCTGGGCGCGCGCCAGGTGCACCACGCACGCGGCCAGCTCCAGCACCTTCACGAGGCGCGTGTGTGTGTTAATTGTTGATGCACACACAAACACATTCAAACTCAATTTATTTTATTTATTTATTTATTTATCACCAACAAAGTACACACTGTGACAGAAGAATTATACAAGATATGCAAAAAAGTGATGAGTGGTACCTTAATTATAGGTAAAAACTACATTACAACAGGCAGTGGAGACAAAAACCAAAAAACTTTTACAAAACTAAATGTGAAATACGAGCATTACAATAATACAAATATTAACTAAAATACGGTAAAAACAGAAAAAAAAATCAAGCAGTATAAAAAAAAAGAAAAGTTACTAAAAAAAAACATGTTATAATAAAAAAAAATATATCATTCAAAAAAATATATCATTTCAAACGGATCAAGCACGCAGTCAGCTCCAGCACCTGGACATCGCGAGTGTGTTGACAATTGACACACGCACATACACACACTAACAAAGTCAAATTCAATTTCGAACGGGCCACGCATTCGGCCATCTCCAGCACCTGGACTATGCGCGTGTGTTAGTGTGTTAACTGTTAGTGCACACGCACACATACATTCACATATTCAGATTCAATTACGAATGAACCACGCACGCGACCAGCTGCAGCACGTGTACGTCGCGCGTGTGTTAGTGTGTTAACTATTAATGCAAACATACACATAGTCACAAATTCAAAATTTTCGTATGACCCACGCACGCGACCAACTCCAGCATTTTAGAGTCACTATTCAAAAATCACAGTGAACAAATCCAACGGTCTCACGCTCACTTTACGCTGATGCATCGTCTTCTGGAGCATGTAGAATAGAACTTCCTTGGTCGCCTGCGCCTCTTGCTGCTGGGCACGGCCCAGAACACTGCCACCTGGAAAGTTTTTTTTTTTTAAATTGAAACTTAGCAAAAAATTTTACAGCCATAAAATTACTAAAACTTTCGTGGGACATTGTTAACGGGATAATAAAACTACTACTTAAATAGTTTTGTGTTATTCAGACTGATTTCGGACATATTGGAGGTCCAAAATTAGTGGGGAGGTCCACTATTCCTAGTGGGGAGTGCTTAATAATGAATTAAATTATATACAAATACAGAGGTAGGAATGACACTAAACCACCGAAACTGAAGCACATGACAAATTACGTAATTTTATAGCAATTTCATAGGCTGCTATCTCTTTCCGTATCACACGTTCTATATCGTCTGTCACATTCACTTAAATAATGTTATGACATTTAAATCCGAACTTTTAACCGCCGCGCAATATGTACACGACTCGTGTACATATTGCGCGGCGGATCTCTATTAAAACATCATCGTACGTAGTTTCATCTTAGCTTGAGCATTGCTCGAGTGGAATCGCTCGACCCGAGCCTCGCTCAGGATCGGTCGAGCGGTCCGAGCCGAGCAATGCTCCGCTCCGGGTTCCACTCACCGCCCATGTTGCTGAACATCCTGACTGCCACCGGCTCGAGGCCCGCTATGCACTCAGAGTGCGCGCCAGATGCCATCAGACCGTCGCAGAGCTGGATCAGCTGTGAAGGGAACAGCAGGGCATAGTTGTTATTCCACTAGCTGTGCCCGCGACTTCGTCCGCGTGGAATTTAAAATAAATAGAATTTCTAAAATAAAACCAGCCCAAGTTACACTTTTTTACATCAGCTATCTGCCAGTGAAAGTCCCGTCAAAGTCGGTCCGGCCGTTCCAGAGATTAACCGGAACAGACAGACAGACAAAAATTGTAAAAAAAAATATTTTGGTATATGTACCGTATATATATTCATATGCATTTAGTAAGAAGCGGTTGTTTTAAGATTACAAACAGACACTCCAATTTTATTTATGATGTACTCTGTCTCAAAAGACAGGTTTTTTCGCTTTTAAAAAACATTTTCTTTAATATACGTTGTGGGTTCGATTCTCGAATCAAAACGCACAACCCCCGGCGTCGAAGTTGACACTTTGGGCAGGAGGATGAAGATATTAAAGTATATGCCTTTGAACAATAGCTTTTTTATTGTCTTCGGATAGAAGTATAATGTATTAGTATAAAATTTTGATATAAATATCTTTTTAAGTATTTAAAAATTGTATGATATGTCCTTTGCATTTTAATTTTATAGCTTCTCTCACCTTCGGAATCTCTATTAGCTGCTTCGTGTGGTGTTTCGAAGAGGAGAGTTGAACCAAAAACAGCAGAATGCTGTTCACGAGCTCGCAACAGTTCCTGCAATACGATGTTAAAAATAGTAAAGTAACAGCCTACATATCCCACTGCTGGGAAGCATCCTCTGTACGGAAGATGCCTTTGCGACTGCGGATTGGCGGACTTCACATATCGTCGAAATACCTATGGATAATAATTTGTTATTATTTCGAAAATATGCATGTTTCCTAACGATGTTTTCCTTCACTGCTTAGCACGTGATAAATCAGCACTTAAAATTAACCAAATTAATTGGATTCATTGGTGCCGGCACCGGGATCGAACTCAGGTTGCTCGAGTATACTAAATTTAAAGCAAGCGCCCGAACAATGAGCTATCACGGAATTGTTAACATTGCTTAAAAACAAAGGTAAAAACTGTTCAATAATGAATATATTTTAATTCGAAAAACTCTTAAAGGACGTGCGAGATAACACTTGCTCATTTGTTGCCATTTTGGCATTACAAATAAAGTGATCATGCACACTTGATTTTACCATACAAAGTTCTTAAAGATTAGGTGAAATCATTTTTTTTTTCATCCTAATGAAAAGTCCGTGCAAAATAAGATCTAACGCGGGTTGTACTGTGACCATAAAATTGAATTATGCTTAACAAATATATAAATAATGAATAAAAATATAATTGGTTACACAAGTGTTGGGGTTGTTTCCTCGTCACGGTCCACTCACGGTATCTCGTGCTGCTCCACCAGCTCCAGCTGCTTCATGAGGAAGCCGATGAAGATCTGGTCGCTGTCCAGCATGCAGTAGTTCACCCTCAGCGCCAGCAACTGGTTAAGCAGCGATAGCACCTCGCACTGCAGCGGTATGTCGTTCTGCATTGTGTAACTCTGGAACGAAATATTTTTTTTATGCGACAAACGAGTTGGCTTACGTTAAGTGATAACTACCGCCCATGGACCTTTGCAACACCCGTAGGGATGCAGAAGCGTTATAAATAAAGTGAGCCCCGGCTACCTCACTCAACATACGAAACGCAGAAGTGTAACACTTCTACTTTACGCCGGTCTTCTGTGAGGTCGATATCTATGGGCATATCGATGTTTTCCCTTAAGGCGGGTTTATTACGCACAGTTACAAGGCAAAGATACAAAGCCTGGGGACTCTGGATACAAAAGGTACTCACCTTCAGGGCCTGGATGACTACGGGCTCGAACAGCCGTATGTACCTCTCCAGCTCCTTCTTGTTCGAGCTCCACTTCCTGTCAGATTTGTTCTTGGAGAAGTTCTCCAGCGCTATGAGCAGCCTCCTCTCGTCAGCCGTTTCCTCGTCTTCCGCTTGGTGGCCGCGCGAGGAGCTGCCGCCGGTGGTCTCCTCTGACCCTCGGATGGGCTCCACCAGCAGCACGTGGCGGTAGAAGCTCGTTTTTGACGGCGGCCGCAACGGATCGCAAATGCTCGTGTAGTCCGAGTACTGGCTGAGCATGTTGGTGCCGAAGAGGCACTTGAGGAGCTGGGTGACGCAGTAGACGGTGAGCGCGGGGCAGAGCGGCATCAGCGCCCTCAGGTAGTAGAGCACCTCCTCGGTGGCCGGGCCCAGCTCGCGCTCCGTCGAGAGCTCCAGCTGCACCGCGAGGCAGTGGAGCACCGTGGCCAGGAACTGGTGGAACACGCTGCCCTTCGGGTCCAGGTTGATCTGTGGACGTTGACAGATTGAAGGTCTGCCATTAGTCACGTGATGTTTTTTTGGGCAGCACCGTCCGGATAAGAAGCACCACCTAGCCAGGCTGGCGTGGCAATAGGAGTTTCATACTGCTGACGTAACGACGTCTGGTGAGTGAGGTAGCCGGGGCCCACTTTTTTTAAAGGTGGCGACGCATCTGCAACCCTGCGGGTGTTGTAAATGTTCTTAGGTGGTGGCTATCACTTAACATCAGGTGAACCGTCAGCTCGGTTGCCACATAAAAATAAAACTCCGCCCTCCCCACTCCCTGCTCTTTAATAACGTGTAATTATTTCAGTACGGGATATTTTAAAAATTTGACAATATCTTAAAATACGGGTAAACATAACACATCTAGTTTAATTCTGGAAAATTAAGAACCATGATAAAAACGTCCAGACAAACTAATCACCGATCATAACTTGACATCAATGATCAAATACCCAACCGAAATCATACCTTATGGTTGGAGTACATGGCCCTCAAGTTCTCGTAGAGCTTCATATAGAAGGGCTCGTTGTAGAAGTGGCCGGCGAAGTTCGCCTTGAGGCTGGTGGGGGGCGAAGGCGCCTTCTTCTTCAGCGGGCCCTTCTCGTCCGCCTCTGGCGCGGCGTTGCCGCTCTTCTTCGGCGTCGGATCTGTTAGTGAACATTCGATGACTCAACGGCGCAGTTGCCAGAATGTCGGCTTCGGCGCCGGCTTCGATTCCCACAGAAGAAATCTTACTGTGGAAGAAGGTCTACGGCCTAACGGAAGATCGATGTTAAGACCAGTGAGTGAGATATCAGGCACCCGCTAATTTAAAGGTAGTCAACGCATTTGCAACTCCACAGTTATTAGTGATGTAGATTGGCTTAGGTAATCACTTAACATCGGGTTGACCACTTTCTCACTTACCACCATGAAAAAGACAGTACATGCTACTTGCTTGCACAGTACCTGCTGAAACTAAGTACGGTACTTGCTAATTCTAAGTGCAGCAACAAGTTGTAATGAGTAGAGTACTTCCCAGTACCTGGTATGGTATCGTTAGTACTCTGTGCAGTACTCGCTACAACTTAGTACTGTACTCGCTAGTTCTTAATACGGCAGTCGGTAGTAATTAGTACAGTGCTTGCTAGTACTCAGTACGGCACCTGCTACTATTCAACACAGTATTCTGAGGTACCGAGTACAATAACCAAGAGGGTCACCTTGAGTCTTCCTCCTGACCGGGCTGCCGGGCAGCGCTATGCCCTTGTTCAGGTGCACGTTGGGGTTCACCTCGTCGACCAGGTGCGCGAGGACGTTCAGCATCTTGAGGGTCACCTGGAGGAACCGCTCGGCCGCGGCGGCCACCCGCTCGCCCTCCAGGTGCTGCCACCTGTCGGCCGCGGAACGGGGCTCCCTCTCGAAGATGTCGCTCGCCGAGGTTTTTGCGATCATCACTTTGTGAATCTCCACTGGAACGGTGGAAAAAACATCTATCATAAATTGTGCAAGTAAAGTAAATAATTATAATTTTTACCAAAAAAAAAAAACCCACTTCAAACCGGAAACTAAGGAACATTGTAAATGCATTTGAGGATTGTCCTCGATATCTCTGGGATGCCATCATCAGATCCGGGTTTCCCTATCATGGTACCCTTGGGATATCTTCTTTCCAACAAAAAAATAATCATCAAAATCGGTTCATAAACGACGAAGTTAACCGCAAACACACGAAAAAAAAAGATATATATATATATATATATATATATATATATATATATATATATATATATATATATATATGTTGCATTTTATAGCACATTTATTAACTTAAATTTTTTTAGCCTTCATTTAGCACCTAATTTACTTTTCACCATGACAAGGGTTGACTGGTAGAGAATGCCATGAGGCATTAAGTCCGCCCATTGTAGCCCTTAGCTTAAGGTGTAGCAATGAAGCTTAAATAAATAAATACATATACGGTCGAATTGACAAACCTCGTTCTTTTTTGAAGTAGGTTAAAAACTCACTTTGTGAATCTCCTGAATGTTAAACATCTATCATAAATTGAACAAATAAAGTTAAAAAACTAAAGTCAGTAAAGTATGTCCCACTGCGGGGCAAAGGCCTCCTCTGCTCAAAGAGTATTAGGCACACCACGCGACCCCACTGCGGGCTTAGCATATCTTCGAAACATTTTTTTTGTTATTATTTCAAAAATGTGTAAGTACCTCCATCACTGAGAATGTGAGAATTCAGCACTTGAAATCAGCAATTACATTGGTGCCTGCACCGGGGATCAAACTCAGATTGCTCGTGTATATTGAATTAAGAGCGAGCGCCCAGACAATGAACTATCATGGCTTATTATATTTAAATATATCTATAATATGTATTCATTTAAAAAAGAAATGTATGTTTACATACATTAATCAGTTAGTGTAGTAACCACAGTACAATCCTTGCTAAGTTAGGAACTTGATAACGTTGTATAATCAAACACCATGAGTATATCAACAACTGTGGCTCGCTACTTCATTGAAATCTCCTGAATCCAACTATATGAGAACAATCACATTTATGACTCCGTGAAGTTGCCAAGGTATTGGCTTCGGCGCCGGAGGTAGTAGGTTCGATTGCCACACAACAATATGTGTGTCCCATTGAAAATTATTTCGGATCTGGGCGTTTATCCTCGTGAAATTTATGTATGTAAAACGTCCTCACAACAAGTAAGGTCAATGTTGAAAATAAATAGCAACTTACCCGGATAGATCATGCTGCAGAGGTCCAAAAGTACGACCCTGGTCGCCACCGGCCCGTTACAGTAATCCAGGTTGTCCAGGCAATAGCCGAGAAGCCCCTGGTCCGTGTACGCCTCTTTGTACCTCCAAGGGGACCAGCGCCTGCATATCGCCTGCAAGGCTTCCAGTAGACCTTGCTGCAGAGGAAGCAGACTAATTCAAATCCAACAACATCCAAAAATCTTTATTCAATATAGAATGACTTATTCGACCCGAATGGCGTAGTGGGTAGTGTACCTGCCTCCTGCGTCAGAGGCTGTAGTTGCGATCCCCACTACTGGGAAAATATCGTGGGATGAGATGACAGTATTTTTCTAGTGTCTGGGTGTTTACATTTGTATAATATATATTTATTTCACAGCAGGCGGTTCACCTGATGTTAAGTGAATACAGCCGCCCTTGGACATCTACTACACCCGAGGGTTTGCAACTGCAAATCTAAATCTGCCGTCGCCATATGATAAAGAGTCTAAACGCATCTGCGTTGACAACATTTTTGGAAATTAGTCACCGGCTACCTCACTCACCAGACGAAACGCGAAAGTAATTGTCATACTGCCACTTCACGCCGGTCTTCTGTGAGGTCGTGGTACTTCCCTGGACAGGTCTGCCCATTCGTGCAACGGCCGAGGCTGCTGCGTGGCTCTACCACCGAACGTGTTTAAACGTCTAAGCATATATAGGGACAGACAGGCAGCGAGACGACTTTGTTTCATTTGAATTTAGCAAGGCTTGTACTGTGGGTACCACATACTGAACCTATTTAAACATACATTAATTTACCTTAGGCAGATGACGCGTTAAACCAAAACTCACGGAATAAAACTTGCAGCTGGAGCCCAGCAGTCTCCGGGCCAGATCGCCCACCGCCGAGGCCAGGGCACCGCCTCGGTCCTGGGCCGCAGCGCCCCTCATCTGGCGCGGAAGGTCGCGCTGGAAGTAGACCCTCCTGACCAGCCCCAGGGTGGCTCCGCGCGGTGTCAGCTCCAGATCCAGCGTCTGTTGCGCCGCCATCTCGGCCAGCACGGCCGTTGGACTCGCTGCCCTCGAAGCTCTCATCCTAGGTATTATGCTGCACGTAAAAATATCTCAGTTAAAAGCGTTATAACTATAGTTATAATTACAGTTATAGTTAAAGGAGCGGGAGGAGATTTCTACCAATACTATTCTCCTAATATACTCCCAGTACTACTAGTGTACTGGGAGTATATTAGGAGAACTACTAGTACTAGTACTACTACTACTACGAGTACTAGTATACTCCCAGAGTACTGGTGGCGAAATTAATAATTACGTCGTCTTTTATTTTAAATAGATAAGATTTTTAAAACAACAACAAAACCGACATCAAAATATACAAGTATCCAATATGTTTCCTATTTGATTTTGGAGAGTTTATTAAATATCTCCTTTTCAAAAAAATATAGAAATCGATTTATAAATCTCGGAGTTCTGAGGAGAAAAGCATTTAACAAATGTAACCGAGGATTGGTTATGTATACGAAAATCTGTTATTTTCTCGTCATTCTTTCAAACAGCAATGGAAACAGGGATCGACATCGTGCTTTGTATATACAGCGTGTAGTTACAACCGCGACAATAAATAAACACACATATAGAGGATAACTTTTTAAAATTGTATTAAATATTTACATTCTTTAAACATCAATATTTACCGAGTCATTAAATTTTCCAAAACGAACAATTTTAGAACATCCTTATGTATGTGAACTGTAAAGTAAAGTTCATTTGTAAAGGTAACAAAACATATGAATGAGTTGAATGAATTTAAAAGAGATAAAACATACTGTTAGAAGGAGAGATTTGTAATGCGACGCTGTGGCAACGAATGAAAAACTCTCTGAATGTATGAATCAGTCAGTTGTAGTTGTATAGGATGTTACAAATTTTGTTTCTTTTATATTTAATTAGTTTGTTTGAAAAAATTTTTTTTTTATTATGGATTTTTTTAACATTTATATTTTTTATGATTATTGGCAAGTAGCGTTAGACGTGTGTTCATTTATTGTCGCGGTTGTAACGACACGCTGAAGATATTTTATGGGCCGAAGAGTGAATTCACTTCGAAATATTTTTTATTCGAGTATACTGAATTAAAGGTGAGGCTATCGCGGCTCTGAGAAGGCTATCGCGGCTCTGAGATTTTCAATCAATATTTGAATATCTAACGGAAATTGAATGAATAATAAAAAAATGATAGTAGTAGAAATAGTCTCGTTACTTCGCAATCGCTTGAGCCGCCGCCGCCCTGACCTTCTGATCTTGGTCGGCCAACAGGTGAATGAGGGTGTCCATGATTTGTTTGCACCTCGCGTAGTAATCCGGACAGAGTATGAAAAGCCTGAAAGTTATAAAAATAAACATTGTTATACGAATTATATTGTGAAATTAATGTATGAAAATTACGATATTTTTGATGTTACGATATTTATGATAGTTTTCATGTCTCGCATCGTTTCTCGCGTTTTAGATGCCGCCGTCATCTCGATTATACCCATGTGATAAAGAGTCTAAAGTCGTAGTGCATATAACGTAATGGTTTGATCGACGTCATCTTGACTATATCCATATGCTATAGAGCCAAAAGTCGTTGTGCATATCAAAACCGGTTGTTAGAAGTCATCTTGACGTCGTTATATAGGCCGGCGTCATCTTGACTATATCCATATGCCCACCTGGCGTACGGCAGCCGCTCGTAGACACGGCAGAGGTCCAGGCGACAGAGCCAGTAGCTGTTGGAGGCGACAGCCGGCAGGGCCGGAAGGGCGGACACCAGGAGGGTGCGGGGTGGCACGGCTCAGCCAGCGGAGGGTCTGGCTCACAGCGGAATGCACCTCGTCCGACAGGCCCTGGAAAGACGGAGATGTCAGGCAAAGTCAGTCAAAAAAAATGTCTTTTAAAAAAAAACAGCAGCAAAGGAAGCGATCGAGAGAAGGTTCATCTTCTACATACTGTGGACACTGGTAACTGTGGTAATTTACGATAATCATTACCAATTATCATTATCATTACCGTCGTCGAGAAAACTCAAATCAACATCGCGTTCCACATCGTCATCATTTACGACTCCGTGACGCAGTTGCCAAGGTATTGGCTTCGGGGGCGGGTCTTGTTGTTGCGATTCTCACACGGGACTACTATTTGTGTGACCCACAAATAATAACTGTTTCCGATCCGGACGTATGTCCCCGTCCTACAATATGAGCAATGTTTTTTTTATGTGAAAAAGAGGCAAACGAGCTGGCGGTTCACCTGATGTGAAGTGTTAACCGCCCATGGACATTTGCAACACTCGTAGGGTTTCAAATGCGTTGCCAACTTTAAATAAAGTGGGCCCCCGCTACCTCACTCACCAGACGAAACGCGAAAGTGTAACACTTCTACATTACGCTGGTCTTCTGTGAGGTCGTGGTACTTACCCGGACGGGCATGCCCATTCGTGCAACAGTAAACAGTGTCGCGTGGCCCAACCGCAGTTTTTTAAAATAAAGAAAGACTATCATCCAACGCAACCAACCTTCAGCACGAGCCCCATCAGCCTGTCTACGGCGAGGGCGTCCGCTACGTCGGCTACGAGGGCCGCGTAGCACCGCCACCTCGCGTAGTCGCCGTAGCACTGCTCCAGGGCCGCGTCGAGGTACGCGCCGATACAGACCCTGATTAGACCCCTGATCTGAGGGTCGCTGTGTCCCTCCAGGAGGGTGAATGCGTCGCTGATGTGCTGGAACTCGAAGTCCGGAGCCTAGGGATGTCGAAAAAATATCGATATTTTTTATTTTTAATATCGATACTTTCAGCCGATACATTTGGATCTGATATATCGATACAGAATTTTCAATATCGAAAATCATATGAAAAACGATATTTTTTTCAAATTCGAACCCGGCACAGTTTCCATAGGCGTCTAATAATTAATACTTGACATACCTTCGTTTTTGGACAATGAAGTAACTAGGAACTAAAGATAAAATATCGATATATTTTTTTCCTCGATATGTCCAGGTCAATATTAATTTTTTTATAAATATTTATTTATTTCAGACTCATTTCTTACTTCTCTAAGTAAGCAACGCTTGTACTATGGGTACTAAATAACTGATAAACATACTTAAACATTTGACGGTAGTTGACATTTAGTGTAAGAAAGAGACAGCGATAGTATGCGCTAGCAGCATGTGCACCGGATGATTGGTAGAGAGTATAAAACAGACCGCACCGACTGCTGTCTCAGTACGAGTCTCTGCCTCCCTCTCAGCCATTAGTAGGCACTCTTGCCAACTACTTGGCTGGTGTAAAATCTCGATCTATTGGTTAATCTGTATTAATATTAATTGTGGGTCCACCTACTGTAAAATTAATGCAGATTTAGTGTCGGATCATTTATTAACTCATACGTAACGTTCAAATTAATACAACATTTTATAACCGTTTCCATCCTTGTCTTTTACTTCGGATGTTCGAGCATATTTTTTTTTAATGTGAAAAGTTGTCAAACGAGCAGACGGTTCACCTGATGGTAAGTGAATACCGCCGCCCATGGACATCTGCTACACCCGAGGGTTACAGATGCGTTGACAACCTTTTGAAAATTGGGCTCCAGCCACCTCACTCACCAGACGAAATGCGAAAGTATTTGTCATACTTCCACTTTACGCTGGTGTTCTGTGAGGTTGTGGTACTTACCCGGACGGGCCAGCCCATTCGTGCAACAGCCGAGGCTGCTGCGTGACCCTACCACCATAAGATATATATCCTGACACATACTCTTCTTTTGGCATACACAAACACCCAGACACTGGAAAAACACATGTTCATTACAGAATATTTCTCCAGTATTGGGATCGAACCCACACCCTCCGGCATCCCCACCTGAGCCTTCTGCTCGTCAGCTGGCTCGGCGTGGTCGCGCTCCTTTTTCGACCTTCGCCCTCCCCCTCCGGACTCCTTGATGACGTCCAGCTCCGGCTGCCCACCGCCGTCGCCGAAGTGGTCGAACCTGTGGTGTCGCCACGGAATGATATCGTCTATGCATCTCTGTATCATGTATATCTATACATCTATAATACGAGGTAGATAAGGCACTAGCGTACCGAAACTGTGGCACTCAAATTACCGATTACAAAAAAAAAATACTAATCGTCGACATTTAGAAACATAGAGGAATGTATGTTTCTAATGTCGACGAATAAATGATTTTGATTTTTAGGGTTCCGTACCCAAAGGGTGAAAGGAACTCGATTACTAGTACTCCGCTGTCTGTCTGTCCGTCTGCCACCAGGCTGTATGTTTATCATACATCATGAACCGTGAGAGTCAGACAAAAATAAGGAAGAGACCTCATGTCCAGGTCGAGGCTCGAGCAGACGCCGCCGCTGCTCGACATCGGGTAGCCGGTGGTGGTGGGCTCGTTGGTGGTGGTGGCCGAGTCGGCGGTGAGGCCGCTGCCGGTCATGCGCGTGTCGGCGCTGGTGCCGCTGGCGGCCAACTCCTGGCGGCGCTGCTCGCCGGCGGCGGGGCCGCTCCTGCTGGACTGCAGCTCCTGGCTGCCCGACTCCGTGATCGAGTCCTGGTAGCATACGTTGCGCTCCAGGACGAACTCGCTGTTGCAGCCGCCGTGGTCGAAGTCGGCTCCCTCCGATGACGCTGGATGGGTTCAGTTCACAATTGACGAATTTGTTGTGTTGTATTTTGTTGTACTTTGGAATAAAAGATGATACGGTTAATTAATTAATTAAATAAATAATAAATATTCTAGGACACATTTTTTACACAACATTCTCTAGTCCCAAACTAAGCAACGTTTGTGCTATGGGTACTAGAAAACTAATAAACATACTTGAACATACTTTTTGTGAATAAATTATACATATACAACTAAGAGAAATTTCTGCCAGGGATTCTTTGGATGAACTAAATAACATACTATGGGAAATGTGTGTTCAAATTATATGAAAATAATAAATTATAGATAGTATATTATAATATTACTAGCAACTAGGATTACGAAACATGTGATGGAATGTCATTTAAAGCAAAAGTCTAAGCTATTGTTTTTTTTTATTTTGATCATGTAAGAGCAAACATAAAAAACATAAATATTTTTATAAGCAAATCATAATGAATAAGAGATTCTTTAATAAAATAAATGAAATTAATATTTCTGCGCTAACATTATAAATGGGAAAATTTGTGGATATGTCAGACTGTTATCTTTACATCGGCGTGGATTAAAATAGTTAAATAAAGTTACAGATTAACTTATATCACCTTTCATACGTTATATTTATCCTTTGCTACTTAACTTTTTCATAATAAAATATAACCTATGTATCATGTTAACACGTAGAAATCTGATTCATTCAATAGTTGCCCTCAATTTTCAAAGAATCAGTTAAGACTAAGGACTCACCCGAGTAGTGTTGCAGCTTCATATCTGCGTCCTTGTCCAAATACATGGTCATGATTTGAGGATAAATGCGTAGGATCTCTGAGAGGCAGCTCAGGGCTGATGCCTTGACGGACACCCTCACCGATCTGAACAAGTTCAAACGAGATTCTAACTTATGTTATCTACTTCGCATTTCAAGGAATTCAAACAAATATTAAGTGCGTGTCGGACTCGTGCACGTAGGGTTCCGTACCATTATCTATAAAAACGGCAAAAAAAATCTGTCTGTTGTATGGGAGCACCACTTAAATATTTTTTTTTATATTGTTTGTTAGTATTTGTTGTTATAGCGGCAGCAAAAATACATCATAATGTGGAAATTTCAACTGTCTAACTATCACTGTTCATGAATACAGCCTGATGATAGATGGACAGACTGACAGACAGACAGCGGAGTATTAGGTTCCCGTTGTTTTACCCTTTGGGTACGGAACCCTAAAAAGACCCTTTCAGATAAGAATGTAGATGATATTTTTATCAATAAAAAACGAAATCAGGGAAATTCTAAAAACATGCATTTCTGGACTCCAATGTCCGAATTCCACTAGCAATGAAATTATTATGAGTCTACATAGGAGCACAAAGAAATGTTAAAATTGGTTTATATATGAGGGAGTTCTGAGGTAACAAACATAAAAAAAAAGTAAGTAAAATTTAAGATGCCTTCATATTTTTTAAAAGTTCATTAAAAACCGGGATGTGTGATAAAGATTTTAAAGAGCTGTTAAAAATTTCAAGACCACCATGCTTGATAACAAAACGATAGGTGCATTTTGCTATTATCTGTATTAGATTATTCATACAAACAAATTATTCATACTTAGTACTCTAAGAGCAAAGAACACGCCGTCACAAGTTTACTTACACACTTCACAATACACGCAGTAATGTGGTGCTTTTAAAAATTGTTAAAAAATATTCGGTTGAGCAATGATAGCTCAGTGTCCGGGCACTCGCTTTTAATTCAATATACTCGAGCAAACCGAGTTCAAATCCTAGTGTCGGCACCAACAAAATTGTTAATTTTACGGGATGACTTATCACGTTCTCAGCGGTGAAGTGAAACATCGTGAGGAAACCTGCATATTTTTGAAACTATAAAAAAAAATATTTCGAAGATATGTGAAGTCCGCCTATACGCAGTGGGGCCGCGTGGTGGACTATGCCCTGATACCCTCTGTATAAAGGAGGCCTTTGCCCAGCAGTGGGACATGTATAGGCTGTTACTTTTTTTTTCACTTTATGCGAAGTCCACCAATCCGTAGTGGTGGACTATGCCTTAATACCCTCTGCACAGAAAAGGTATTTGCCAAGCAGTGGGCCGTTACTTTGCTTTACTTTTTAGGGTGAAATTCGGAGAAAATCCGCACCTGTCGGGTATCACGCCCCCTCTGTTGCCAGTCAGCAAGAACTTGGAGATGAGAAGTCGAGCCAAGTACTTCAGCACCACGTCGTCGTCATTCGCCGAGCCGATGTTGATCTGAGAACAATACAAATGATACATTTGTTAGCTATACTTTGTTTTATCGAGCTAAGAAGGTAGAAATATAAATAATTTTACCAAATCACCGTAGTTTCACTTTGCACAACAATAACACTGGTATAATTACTTATTTTATCCCTTTAATATCACAAATGAAACACCACTCTAACGATTTAATTTATGATACCGATTGGGCAGCACTTTCGTGTATACTTCTGGTTTGACAGCCAAAGAAGAAGACGAAGACGACGAAGGCCATGAAATGCTTCGTGCAGCTGCATTTATACCTCACAGAATGACACCCTTAGTATTGCCAACAACCCCAAGGAATGACTTCCTTTAGTGTTGCCAACACATTGAAAACCCGATTGGCCTAGTGGGTATAGAACCCGCCTCTTGCGCCAAATGGTGTGGATTCGATCCCCATTGTATTATGCAATGAAAATAGCGTTTTTGAGTATGTTTTGTGAAAAAAACATTGAATTCGAAGTCCGAACCCACAACTTCAGCGGCAATAGCCTATACAGGGTGGCTTTTCTAAAGGTGTCCAAATTCACAAAGAAGGTTCAGACTGGGTAGTATAATCGTTTATTGAAATAAAAACAAACTTTTTTCCAAAAAGTTGCGATACTATTCCCTAAAAAATAGAACTTGTTGACAACTCGGTAGTCATTCATAAATGCGTCGTATACGTTTGAAACGAACTTGCGTGCGCGTTAGTTATGAATGATCGCGAGTAAAATATATGAGTTGCGTATAAATCACGGACATTTTGAGATAAGTTCAAATGAATGTATTTAATTAATTATGAGTGATTTTAAATATTTAACATTTTATATAACATAATTTATGTCTAGAATTTAATAAATAAAATGGATACACTTAAAAAAGCCTTCCTGTATAGCAACTGCGCCACTGACTTAACACTGCTTAGAAGCTACAAACTTCACTTATCACTAATTTTACTGTATCATTATGACCCACCTTGAAGACTCTCTCATGGGACATATCCATCCCACCCACGCAGTGGTTGGATTCCTCTATTTCGTTCAGCTTCTCAGTCAGGTCTTTGGAAAGTTGGTCAGCATCCGGCATCTGCATCTCACCGCTCACTGGCGTATCCGGGGTCTGTCGGGCAAATAAGACAATAATAATATTTCGTTTCGATGAAAGTTTATACTATGGGTACTTGGTAACTGATAATCATATTTAAACGTACTTTTCTTTTATAAATAAATACATATCATAGATATATAAACAACCAGACACTAGAAGAACACCAAACACATTCATCGCACGACATTTTTTCAGTAGTGGGGATCGAACCCTATCTACTGCGCCAATTTGGTGATCAAAAATTGTATTGATATTTCAACATTAAAATCTGCCAGTTAACCCGTGCGAAATTCTCGCATAACACTGTGATCAGTGATTGAATCATTGAATCATAGTGGGGATGGAATGTATTGTATTTGTATTTTGTGTGGAAGACGTCCCAATGACCACTGCCACCTAGAAGATCTATTTTGGTCTTCCGTTCCAAAACATTTCCGCTTACTGCCGGTATAATAGTCCAGCCATTCTTGAGTTATGTGCTTACCACCATTCATTTTTATTTATTAAGATATAAATTTAACGTGGTCAAACAACCGACCCAACTGATGCAAAAATGTTGGTTCACACGAATAGTTGACCGTATCGAACCTACGGCAACTGCGCAACGGAGTCATCGGGTTGTGGGTTCAGCACCAGAATCCGAAAAAACTATCTTCGGGTCACACAAATCGTTGAACCGCGCGGGAATCGAACCCACGACCCCCGACGCCGAAGCCATCGGGTTGGGTTGTTCGGGTTAACCTGTATTGTGAGGTCCTCAACGCTGAGGCTGGGCGTGGCCAGCTGCAGCAGGCTGCCGAGCTGCAGGGCTCCGCTGAACGTCAGCTCCGGCTCCCGGGGCTCCGCCAGCGGACTGGGCGCGGTGCGGACCGAAACCGCGCTCACGGTGCCTGGAAAAATTCATGCATGCAACTGTACAATGCGGGCATATACTGAAATGGTCTTTTAAGTTGCTACATGATAACACATATAACTAAACTTTTCTGGACCCCAAGGACTGGTATATAATGCCGATGGCATTAAGTCCACCTTTTGACGTACATGTGTGTGCATAATGAATAAATAAATAAAGTGAAAATTTATTTCTTCTGAATTGTTATTTTTTTTTTAATTCCTTTCATTTAAGTTTTCCCTTCCCTACCAATTTTTTAGTTATTTTGTTGATTTTTTTTTTAATTTATAATTTTATACTTAATTTTAAACATTGTAATTAAATAATGTAACATCTGTATACAATGAAGTATTGGAATAAATGTATTATGTCTTATGACAATTGTCAACCTTATTACTATGTAACTGCACGAATGGGTAGGTCCATCCAGGTGAGTACCACGACCTCGCAGAATACCACCGTGAAGTGTAAGCGTTATACTTCTGCATTTCGCCGGGTGAGTGAAGTAGCCGGGGCCCACTTTGTTAAGAAGTAGCAGCGCAACCGCAAAGCTACATATGTTGCATATGTCCATGGGAGGCGATTATTACTCAACATCGGGTGAACTGCCGGCTTACACACCACTTTCTGTTTGTCCGCTTCCATTGTAAAATTTTCTCTCTGTAAGCTTATGAAGAGAGCTCCGAAGTTGGTTACAAAACAAACTATTTTCCCCTCACTGAGATTCCTGCTGTGCGTCTTCTCGCCGCGTCTGCCATCGAGTAGCACCTGCCGCGGACTCCGCTGCAGCAGCGCCCCGACCTGGTCTCCGTCCGCCTTGGCAAGCAGCACAGCGAGGCACTCCATGATCGAGTTCTGCACGTTGTGCTCTACCGTCGTCTGCTCGAGGTAGTGAACGCCGAGGCGGTAGAGCTGCGGGTAGTAGGGTAGTTCAAGGTGACTCCGTGGCGCAGTAGCAGAGGTGTCGGCTTAGGCACCGCGGGTTATGGGTTCGATTCCCACTGTTTGTGTGACCGACAAATAGTCGTTTCAGATAAGGGAGTATGTCCGCGTTAAATGTATGTGTGTTCTCAAAACACCTACAGTAATGGGGCAATGTTTTCGAAGCGAAGACGGCAATAGACCTTCTAGGTCGCTTGTCGTTTTGTTCGCTTGTAGTTGTCGTTTGGACTTACTACACAAAACTTTGCCGTTTAGATTGGCCGTTTAGCTGGGTGGTTAAAGCGCCCGGTCGCGAATCCGGAAAACGTGGGTTCTATTCCCGCATTGGCGAAAAACTAATCGTACATTATTCTCTAAAAGATTTGAAGTTTTAATGAAACAATGCTTACCTCTAAATAATCCTGCACGGTGAACAATTCGCTGTCGGCGAACTTGTGCATGTCGTTTATCTGGAACATGGCTTTGATGACGCAAAACCAGCCGATGATTGTGTTGTCGCTGGATGCTATAGGCCATAGTTGTTCTGAGGAAAAACGAAGTTTCTACTGTGGTAGGGTCGCGCAGTGGCTTCTGCTGTATTAATTAAAAACCTTGATAAAAGCCTGAATCCGGTTTGGAATTAAGATTTTGAAAGTACATCATCAATATGTTAAAATTATTTTTCATTGTTTTTTTTTCAATACTATACGTGTGAAGGCTGTTCTATATCTACGGCGTAGGGTGCGTAGGTTCGATTCCAACGCGGTACAGTTTTATGCTCGACCGACAGATAATTGTTCAGGGTCTGAGTGTTTATTCCCTAGGATGCTATTTAATACCATTAACAATGACTCAAATGTTGTGCCAACGGATTTTATATTATTTTATGGCATTTAATAACCCCCAAGTTGCTACATTATTTAATGGCATTAATATAACTTACCATACATCCGTCCGAGAATGTTTGTAACCAACTGTTCCCTGTGCGAGCAAAGGTGTGCCACGCATGTCGCTATCCCACGCCTCACCGAAGCTTCTGATAGATCCACGTGTGAAAGCAGGGCTTTCAAAAGATCTGAAATTAAAATACCATGAAAAGGAAACTTCTCTGACAGACAGAACTGGTATGAATAATGTTATGCATTAATTTTGTTCATTAGTATTACTTGCCATAATAGCAATGCTGTGAAACCTAAAATGAGCACTTCTCATAATTAAATATATTTAAATGAATATACATTTAAATATATAAATAAAATCAGTTTTCTACGTGTATAGAATCGTGTTTCTATGTGCAGTAGAACAGAATAGAATATGTAGAACTTTCGAAATAAGTTGAAAGGAAAGTGACTTGAATATTTCAATACACACTAATGTGTGTATTGAATCACTACAATGATATAAATCTTACCAGATATCTCTTCATCTGTAGTGTATTCAGCTAATGCATTCAAAATACGCGGCAAATTGGACTCTAACGCCTCCACAATAAGTTGGATCTCGTTTGTATGTTGTATGATTTGGCTCAACTTTGGAAACAATGTCTGTGCTTGGGTCCGTATCTTCCCAACTCCTGGACGCAGCCAACAGTCTCCAAGGCAAATACGAGAAAGTGCGGCCCGGATCCATCTTTAAAAAATAATAATATTATCAGTCTTTTTATTATTAAATCATCAGACGTTAGCAAATGTTAGCACTTCAGTTCAGAATTGGGTACCATTATATTGTAAAAAATTGCTTCTTTGTGTTTATTACCAAACTTTAGCCAATGGAAAAAGTCCAAAAATAGAAAAATTACCACCATTAACTGTTTCTGGGAAAGAAGTCACAGTCTGCAGCTTTTCTCTTACAAGACCAAACAGAATACTTTCATGATAATAACTAATGTCAATATACATGCAACATTGATGACTCCCTTATTTCAGTAACTAAGGTATATGCTTCAGCATGCCAGATTTCAGAATTCCATACCCATCCACATATTAGACTTTATTATATGATTGATTTTTTTTTCTATGCGAAAAGTTGTCAAACGAGCAGACGGTTCACCTGATGTTAAGTGAATACCGCCACCCATGGACATCTGCCTCACCCGAGGGCTACAGATGCATTGACAACCTTTTGAAAATTGGGCTCCGGCTACCTCACTCACCAGACGAAACGCGAAAGTATTTGTCATACTTCCACTTTACGCTGGTCTTCTGTGAGGTCGTGGTACTTACCCGGACGGGCCTGCCCATTCGTGCAACAGAGCCGAGGCTGCTGCGTGGCCCTACCACCGTTAAAATAAAAGTACCCGGAGGACCGAGCTTTGCTCGGTTTGATTATTTTTGGTAAATCGTGTGTTTTGGAAATTACATTTAGATACAAATTACTGAGTAATGAAATATGCGTAATATTTTTCGATCTAACCGACCTAATAATAATAAATATGAAGTAGCGTTTTTCACAAAAGAAACAACTTTAAAAAAAGGGAAAAAAGTAACAAAACAACAAATCGATAAAAAAACTAAAAATAAAGAAAGCAATGATCTGGAATCGAAAAAAAAGTAAAAAAAAAGACTGTGTAAATTGATCGTGATACGAACCACGGCCGTCTGTTTTGGGGCCGCCCGATTACCGACCGAGCTATTATAACATTTTCTTTTGCGGCGAAATTTACCGTCATATTGAAATGATATTTTTCATTCCCTGAAAACAGGGATAAAAGGACATTTTCTAAAAATGAAACCTATCTAGATCGATTTTTCGCCCCCGAATCTACGCACATACTAAATTTCATGAAAATCGCTGGAGCCCTTTCCGAGATTCCGATTATATATATATATACAAGAATTGCTCGTTTAAAGGATAAGATAATGATAAATAAACAAGTATAAAGATTGAAAAATACCTTGCATTCCTGTTCCAATCTATTTGATTCTGTAATATTATGTTGGTTTTGTAGGAGTGGAATGCAAAACCACCAGCTACTGCACGGTTTAGCGCTTCATCACCTACCAGGCGAACTTCAGCCTAAGATAAATGAAATAAAAGTAAAGTAAAATCAAAATTTAGGAGTCTTGTGAATATAATGCAAGAGTTTATTAAAATAATGCATCTGCAACATTGCAAAATGCATATTTAAAATTTTTCCATTCACTATTGAATAAAATTAAAGAAGAATTACTGAAGGAAAGATCATTATATTAATGAAAATGTTAAGTGTCATATTTAACACAATATATAAGTAATGACCAGCCCCAGCAACTAAGGGACACTACCTATTTTGAGTATTTTGTATTATCTGAAAGCCATAACAAATTATTAAATTGCATATAACCATCACATTTATTTCAGTGTGAATGTACTCTTATTTCTAGTTCTAGAGATTTAAATAAACAATGGAATAAAAAATATTTATTATTACTCACACTGTCATTGCTAGCCAAAGATAGTAAAACTGGCACAGCCGAATGTAACAAATTAGCATAATGCCGTGCACAGTTAGCGCGGCTTCCTAGAGCTCCTAGGCAACGGCCGAGCGTCCCAGCAGCGGCTTGAAGCTCGTGTCTCCTGAAATTGCATTATAGTGAAACACAACAACGTTACACCCAATTGTGATAACACAGCTACACTTACTTTGCATTTCCTTCGTTGCTTTTGAGGAATTCTAAGGATTTTTCGGCTTTTTCTAGGATATTCATGATTGCTCACTTTATATCTATTTGATAGAAACACATATTTATAATAATTATAACGTTTTAATTTTATATTTATCCCTAATGAAAACACGAACATTCATGACAAAACCGCAACAAACAAACGAAAAGAAAATCAATCGCTTTGACGTATGATAACTAAGTCCAGAAACCAGAAACAATTTATTTTGTATGTAGGCAATAATGTTACGTATACGTCTAAAAGTGACGTTATTTTTGTAGTTTATTTTGAATACTTTTTAGCCTGGCGTATTTTTTTTTCGCATTTTTAGTATATATGTCTTATCTATGGCCTGGCGGCCTCGACATCTTCATCAAAATAGATTAGCGCTGCAAGATTACAACACGATAACGCATTGCACGCCGTTGCATCTCCGTGACCCTCCCTGTTCATGAAAGGATAAACTTCCATCTTCATCAGATTCTGGGCTTGGACCGCAATTGATAGTGGGAAATTACTCAAGGAAGTACCCCAAGGAAGTCGTTAACACGGTAAGTACCACGACCTCAAAAAAATGCTCTCGTACCACCTATCACGTAAAAAAAATAAAGCAGCTGTCGAGGAATACGTTAAATATCGCTACTAGAAAAGGACTATTTTTTAGCAAGGGTTAGGTTAGTCAAAGTGGCTTTGAAGATTATTTATACCGTACGTAACGTCATTCACTGAAGTGTGGTAAAGAAAGAGTAACCCGTAAGACTAAAAGGTAACCCGTACCCGTGAGGATCTCTCTCAGATATCTATCGGATATCCCATTAGTCTCGTCCTATGATAGGGAAATGTCACGCTGATTTGAATGGTAACGGAAAACCGTCGTGGGTTGGGGGTTTAGGACGTACATCTTTCGAGAATGAAGAAACGGCTAAGAAGGAATCGTAAGAAGGATTGCCTACGAAGTGAGCCTTTAGGGCTCTGTGTCACTCCACGTATCTTTTTAAAGAAAATAACAGTGAATCTGATATGAATAAGTGTGGCGAAGTGCCAGGTCCAGTTCGGATTTTTGGAATATTCATAAGCCCTGAGTGGCTACAGGAAGACAAACTAAACAAACGAAGACAAAAATCCTTCAACCCTAAGATCGAACGTGCCGATATGGTGAAGCTTCCTATGCATTGGGAGCAACCAAGACTCTGACATACTCTCTAATGCGTACCTTAGTGGTGTGCCATCTTGGTAAACCACATTGAGTGAAACCTCAAGCCCAGCAGTCGTGTCGGTGATGCTGAGTGAAAGTATAAGGCTGCGATGGTCCAGAAGGAAGCTGCTAAACGAGATTGAGAGAAAATAGATTACACGCCTCGCCACGGCTCTCAAAACAGAATTGGTCTTCTACTACTAGAAATGGGTCCTCATGGACCACGAGCGATTGGAGATTTGGACAGTCCTGATTTCCCAGTAAATCTGAGGCGGTCGAATATGGAAACTTCCAACTTAAGATTCAGTTACGCGAGTGAACTATACGCCTATAGTCTTTGAATTTTTAACCGACTTCAAAAAAGAAGGAGGTTTCTCAATTCGACCGTATATATAAAGCACGGGTGACTGTGTTATTCTTCCGAACAGCCATTTGTACCTCCTGCAATTCTAAGCAGCGCCTATTGTCTTCGAATTTTTAACCGACTTCAAAAAAGAAGGAGGTTTCTCAATTCGACCGTATATATAAAGCACGGGTGACTGTGTTATTCTTCCGAACAGCCATTTGTACCTCCTGCAATTCTAAGCAGCTAGCATGATCCGCGGGGAGGAGCATATGGTGACTGTTTGAGTGTGATTCGAGGTGAAATCCGTAATAATTATAGGTTATCATAAAGGTGGTCTCGGATGACTCTATTCTGTCAGAGATTTCATCTAGGTGCAGAGACTTCGTTGATTAAGACATAGTAGAGGTCATAAATATCACTAAATAAATAAATACTTATCGCTCGTTTATCTATCGTTGCTAAATCTATCTGCAGAATATTGAAACCGGTCGTAAGTATTTTTAAAGAGTGTAGGTATTGATGGAAGCATATTTTAGAATTGCAATATCTAAAATGTCAGGATTCTGATGGATAATAAGAACCACGCAGGTGAGTCACAGGTGTTTCTATGATGTTAAAGACAGGGTCTTCCTCTGCGCACTTGATTACGTTAATAGTTTAACTATTCCAAGCTAAGTGATTGGAATTTACATCACCGATTGATAGCACCGATTTATCTAATTTAATCAGTGTCTTGATGATGCCTTTTACTATGTTTTTTTTTCGACAACAACACTCGTTTACATCTGCTGCAGGGAAAATTTTGCTGTTGATGGTTACATATGTTATACTAAGTACAAAATATAGTTAAACTTTTTCAATCAGCTCTGGTTTTTGATTTTCATGTTTTCAAAACACATGAATTAACTAAGAAAAAAAGTTATTAAAAATTAAATAAAATAATTATTTTTAAAAACTGCGTCTTAAAACTCATTACGAAGTTTTTACGTTCTACTCATGTATAGATTTTGAAAAATGACGTATCAGGAACTAGCAATAATAATCAGATATCATATTTGAATCCCAAAAACGCTGATAGCGTTCTTCTATGACGCGTAAATTAGACCTTGCTCCTCGCTCATAATATCCTTACCTTAGATTTTCAGGAAACATGTCCAAGGTACTATGGAGGAGGTGGAGTTTTATGATCATATTGCACCCTTTTTTAATTGTAAGTTGAAGTCAAGCACAAGTTTTATAAGATTTTTCCGCCAAAGTTTTGCATTACAAAGATAAAAGTTGCAAGCTTTTAATTCAAGCTCATTCATCGAATTTCTAAATTTGATGTTTCGTAAGATATAACATAATTTTTGGAATCAAGGTCAATCTTTGTTATGAATGAAGGGTTTTGCAGCGTTATTCTATAAGTTTTTATAGAATAACGCTGCCAAACCCTTCGTGCTCGTTTCCAAGTCGCTTTTAGCCGGTTTATAAAGGCCAGTAAAATTAAACGATAAACACCAGATCACAAACCATTCATATTCCTAATCGATGTCAATGTCATAATTTGTTTGGATAATTTGTTTCAGTATATATGTCTTAGCTATGATTTGTTGGTAATTTGTGAGTGACACAGAACACTAATAATCTCACGAGTGAGTGATCAGTAACAGTTCCAGTATATATGTATTATCTATGGTAACAGTTTCTATATATTGAATATGGAGGGTAGAATAAGGAGGACCATCTCAGTGTATTAAAAAGTGTCCGTTTAAAGGGAGCAAATTAAGGTGGCGCTAAAAATTATTAGAGTAGGATACTAAATTAAAATGAAAGAAACATTTCCACTTTGTTACAGCGCAATTTTTTAAATTTTATTGTAATATATAGACAAAAATGAGTATGGAATAAAATTAAAATTATACAGTGTTTTCAAGTACCCCAATTATTTGTAAATAGCAAATAGAATATAGTATTAAAGAATTACCGAAATAAAAAAAAAAACAATTAAAATTGTAACAAGCAAATTCTCAATCATTTAGACAATCGCGTGCTGAAAAAAGGTTATAGAGGTTTCATAATTATTATCTAAATGTAGAAATCACCAAAATGGATTTAACAGGCAATCAATAAATATTTATTATTAACAATACAATATATTAACAGTACAATATATTAAAATAAAAACGAAGAAATAAAAATTTATATTTTCAACGATATAACACACTATATAGCACACTTCACTCTGCTTATAACTGCTAAGTTCATATCATTTCCACTTGCTACACTAGCGCTATTTCGGTGGGAGTTCGAACAATAATTTGCTGTTTACAAGTGGACACTTTTTCGACTAATCCCCCATACGAGACGGTCCTCCTTACTTCTACCCTCCATAATATTGAATCATTTATCCAGGGTAGAATTTTGAACTATAATTTCATGCTTCGTACTATATACTATCCATATCGCATAGTACGGAAATGTACTATAATATCGTTAATTTACATAAATGACCAATGTAAATGCCAATCCAACATTTAAAAAAGTTTATTGGGTTGTAATAACGTTGTAATGTTTTAGATAATACAAAATGGATATTACCTAATAATTATTAATTAATTACCTAATAATAATTATGAATTGGAGTATCTTTGTTAATTATTACCACGGAAGCCACGGATTATATCATCAAATTCATTCTTTATCAATGAACTATTTACGGGGACTTACCGTTAATTTTTTTTCTATTCTTAGGTTGTTGAAGAGTAACTAACTTTGCATATTGCACTGAGGTAGAAGAGTTCATTGATATCTAATAGTAGGATTAATTTATTATTTCCTAAACTAAGATAAGAAATAAAACATAATCCATAGACGCCATTTTATTGTTTTGTGGCGCCAGCAAAGATGGTAAAAAAGTGAAATTTTTAATGATGTTATTCCTACTTCTGTTAAAAAAATGAAATTCTAAGGATGAAACTAATATTGAAGAATTGATAACTTGGAAGAGGAGTAAGTTAACGCCTGTTAAAATCAAAATTATAAAGTGTACTATATTTTTTTTTACAAATACTCTCCTTTTAAATTTTTTGTACTATCTTTTTCATCATACCTAAATTCAACCCTGCATCTATCATTTATGTTTGTGGTGATAAATTGACATTGACAATGTACTGATTGATAATAAATTTCCTAGACTAAGGTCATTAGGTTATTTTTATGTTTTTTAAATAATTAATATATAATGTCACAGCAGGGAGATCAAGAAATCGACATAATGCAAGGATTAAAAAAGGTTTTGTCCCAAATTGAATTGGCTATGGCTAGACGGAGCAAAGTAAGTGCATAAGTATTAAAATAATACTGAACTTTTTATCACTTTTAAAATCAACTATTAATCATTAAAATGCACCCGGCGCTAATGAATAATTTTACTATTTACTATAAATTATAATTTTGTCATTAATTCACTTTCAGAATCTTCCACAAGTTACTCCACGGTTAGTGGCAGTATCTAAGATAAAGCCAGCATCTTTGATAATCCAAGCATATGAAGCTGGTCAAAGGCATTTTGGAGAGAACTATGTGAATGAGCTAGCAGAAAAAGCTAGTGATCCCCTTATATTAGAAAAATGTAATGAAATAAAGTGGCATTTTATTGGTCACTTACAGACAAACAAAATAAACAAATTGCTAGGCTCTCCTGGCTTATTTATGGTTGAAACAGTTGACTCTGCGAAGTTAGCAGATAATTTAAATAAGCAGTGGGTGAAGTATAGAAAAGGAGAGGAGAAATTAAAGGTTATGGTGCAGATAAATACGAGTGGTGAAGAAGGTATACATATTCTCTATAATTACTTGTAGAAATGTAAAATTTTTTTCAGATTTTTCTTGTTCATATACAAGCTTTTGTTTATTACAGCCAAAAATGGTATAGAACCACCAGAAACATGTGATCTTGTTGAAAATTTATTAAAGAACTGTCCAAATCTAGAATTTGTGGGTCTTATGACCATTGGCCAATATGACTATGATATGTCCAAGGGGCCTAATCCAGACTTTGTAACATTGGCCAAATGTCGAGAGGAGGTGTGCGAAAAATTGAATTTAGATATAAACAAAGTGGAACTCTCAATGGGAATGTCCACTGATTTTGAACATGCTGTGAGTATATGTCATATTATATTTTATCTTCCGTTTAATTTAAAAAGGATGAAAATTATGTAATCTGAACTGATGATAAGTGATGCCAGACAACTATGCAAACCACAACATCATAGATGTTGCAGGTGAATTTCAAACAACAATCCCACTGTTAGCCTCCAGATAAAGGCCTCCGTCAAGGCAAGGGTGGTTGTCAATGAGTTGGTATTTATACAGGTTTATCACGTTAGCTAACTTCTCTACATACAATCAGGTGAAACAGTAGTCTAGCACTGGCTATTTTTTTACTATAAAAACCATATTAAAAAATAACTGTATTTCTTTATACTTTAATTTTACACCAAATTTCTTTGATGCTCTGGTTTTTGACTTTTTGTTGCTGCATCATTATTTTATAACCTGTGGTGCTAGAACTGTTCTGATACCAGAACTGTTAATGTCAGAACCAGATTTTGTAAAGTAAAGTATCAGCCTATACATGTCACACTGCTGGGCAAGGGCCTCCTCTGTACAGAGGGTATCAGGGATTAGTGGACCAGATGTTAAAATTGTATATTATTGCTATTATGAAATGGTGATTCAATATTTCACTACCATAGTCCATGCAATTACATTTCAATATCAAATTAATATCAAACAATAAAGATGAACATGTTATTTTCCTAAATAATAACAAAATATTTGTGTATAACATTTATTTTCTGTTTCAGATTGAGGTTGGTGCAACAACTGTTCGTGTTGGATCAAATATTTTTGGAGCTAGACCACCAAAACCATAATTGATAAATTGTACATCATTCTAACAAGGCTGGGCTATGTAGACATTGCAATGATTTTGAAATCAATAGGGGATTGGATGATATTTTCAACAAAACCCCTTTAAACATCATTTGTATAGAAAATGTTATCAAGATTGTGTTATGTTTATAGCAAAAACAAGTAGTAATTATAAGTATAAATCAAATAATGCCATATTATTAAATGTTGGTGTATCTTCTTGTCTAGTATCCCTCAAGGTTTGAATTGAAGACTAGTCTTCAAAAATTTGTGTTGCCAGTGACAACCAACAACAGTAGTAGTGTAGGTAACTAGTAAAATTTTAACAATGTAACAAGTAGGTCAGTTTTCCTAGATTTCACTTTAATAGATAGATCAACTACTTTAGTAACTATAAAATCTTAATATAATTAACCTTACGTAATTTACTGAGATGAGATCACAATAATTATTAGTGTTTTAGCAATATACTGGATCCGGTATATTGATACGGATCCGGTATATTGATACGGAGCCAGTAAGCGTATAATGATGCCGGATCCCCTGGATTACCGAATCCGATTTTGCGGATCGCAATCCCTAGACATACTGTCCCGTGACTATGAACGCTAAAAAAAGGTACGAAACATCGGGAAATAAAAATAAAAATAAATGCAATAAATCTGTGACCATAGTTTTATTCAGGTTCTCAATTGGCCGCCGCTCATTTGCTCATTTACCATTAGTGACCATGACAATGACCAAACTATGACTGTCCTGTATGACTCTCCCAGTTCACGCCGGTCTTCGGTGTAACTTCTCACATAAAAAAAAGAAGGCTGGTCCCTCACACCAAGATCGTGACTGTCTGGTAAAGGCTAGGCGAGGCTTGTGTCTACGAGCTGTCGGAATCAAAAGTCGCCTACGACAGTCTCCGTTGTCAAGTCCCACTTCAAACGTTGGAGACGTAACCGAAAAGCGTGGCAGCGAATGATCGCTGCTTCGATCTGTCGGAGAAAATCAGGTGAAAATAGATATTTTTGTTTATGTGGAGCGGATGCCTTACCATTTTGCGATTGCGGGGAGTTCGGAGAACAGCGCAACGCTGTACTGGTACTCCTCCCTCACGAACCCACTACTGCAGCCGTACCGCACCGCGGATGACTCGAACACTCCTCGTCCTCCGCGACACGGTTGCATAACCATCATTGTACCCTCAACCTGTTCCCAAGCCCTCCTCACACATGTCCAGAGTTAGTTCAATGACCTACTTAGAGCGAACCTCTCGGTGCGGCTTTATGCTTCAGACCGGCTGTGTGGATCCCTCATTTCTTTACTGTAGATAGACTTTTCTTAAGGATATTGGCCGCCTATCTGATGCAATAAACAATTTAAATTTTTATAGTGCTAATCTCTGCACTTAAGATTAAACATTAAAATTTGTAGAAAAAAGTACTAAAAGTTTTAGTTAACCCTTTTGCTAGTTGAATTATTGAATTATCTATTTTTCGTAAACAGAGGTCGCGCAGATGCAATAGAGTGGACGGTGTCATCGTCATGCAACAGCTACGATGCTTCAGAGTTTCATCTACCTGCGGACCTCTTCCCACAAGCTGTTAAAGCAGTCGAGCAATAGGGACCCCTTCATTAACCTGCCTAGAAGTTCGCGAGCAAAACTGCGAAGCAGGATGTAGCTCACATACTCATCATTGCACATACTGTCTGTTCCATTCTGCCGTCCAGTTAAGTCTCTCATTAGTGTCAGTGTCAGAGTTCTTCTAATTACGCTTTTATATGCTATTTCAATAAAAGAAAATAGATATCCTGTTATTTTTTTTTTATATAAATAAAAAAGGGTGTGGGAAAAACACAAACAAAACTCTAGTAGGCTGAGCTTGCAGATCTTTGAGATGTTGCAGTAGAGATTAGGCGTATATACTGGTACAGGTATAAATACCCAGTATGTACGTACCTGTACGCAGATCGGGTATGAACGGTAGAGGCCCGTTCCGGACCCGATAGGTATTGTCGATATGGCTCGCGAGTACGCGGACCTAGCGCTGCCTTGTCAGACGGTGGCGGTATTTCATAACGTTCGCGCTCGACCGCCTGTGGCATTTTATACCAAACGATTCATTGAGATAAATTTATTCTTTATTTCTATGACAATTAGGTAGATAAATAATTGCGTAATAAGGTTAAAGTAATATTTATTTTGAATTACTTTTTTTTGCTAATAGGGTTCTTTACGTTAGTAAAGACAGCGCTTATTTTAGACTGATTAAATCCCAATTTCAAAAAAGTGATAACTAAAAAAACATCTAAATGTTTCAAAGGTTCGATTCGTTCGATGATCGAGTCTTTAGAAGGAGGCCTGAACATACCTAATGCCTATGCCTATGTTACAGGGTTCAAGACTACAAGATTCAAGATGAATCCTGCTCGGTGTTGCCGGATACTGAGCAGACTGCGAAAACATTCACAATCGTGCATAAAAAGCGGTGGCTGGAAAGTGGACTGGCAGGCTGGATACTGAATGGGCCCCTAGCAGGAAACTACATTTACATAAGAAGAATAGAAAAAAGAATTTCTTTTATGGTTGCAAGGTGCCACCTGTAAACAAATGCGTCAATTAAAAAAAACACTGAGGGGCGACCCCATTGGCGTTGCTCTGCGTGCCTGAGGTGGGCGCAGGGACGTTAATCTTAGAACAAACTGGCAGGTCGCTGGAGAATAAAAGGATATGAATTTTAAACGATATGTTATTCTCTATCATCATTGTTCAAATCAACCCTTTTTAATTTAGTAGTATAGTACTGATGATTTTAGAACTGGGAAATAGAGATGGAGCTAAAATCGCTATTAAATTACTAAAATCAAAAGTCCCGAAGTACTAAACTTCAAGTGTCATATTGTAACTCTTTAATTTATACTCATTATAGCCATCTAAATTGAGCCAGTTTATTTGATGATTTCCAAAATGGTAGTTTTAAAATAAAGGCTATTGGCAATGGATTTATTTTATTTTGTAGCATTATCATTTCGTATACAGTGCTATTGTAGTATTACTTATTTTAAGAGGTATAATACATATAACTTTCCTGTAATAATTACTTTAAAATAATTTAAAAGAAATTCTATTCTACCAAAAAACTTGGTAGTTATCTTACTGTTGAGCCTACTTGATTGAAATTTCAAATTAAAAATATAACTGTCGTGGTCGCCGAATTCGCCGTACCTCGCCTCGTAGTCCTTTCCTTATTTTATTTTCCTTCTTTTTGCATTGTTCTAGTGCTCCTCGCCCTATTACTCAGTGTCTGTGGATTTATTTTCCTTCATCCCACAGGTACGTGCTGTTGAGTTGAGATCCCTCCTCCGGTACGTGCTTTAGTGTAATCCTTTTGTTTTGTTCCCGAACGTTTTTTGTGTTGGAGAAATTGACTCGTTGTTTGTGAGAAATTGACTTGTTTGTGAGATAGGACTCTTTTGTGAGATAGGACTCTTACTTGTGAGACACGACTTTGATTACAATATGGCTTCAGATAAAAAATGTTGTGTACCTGGATGCCTGGAAACCGGTGGTAAGTAAATACAGCATTATATCTGCTACTTGGCACTTACGATGGACTTGAGTCTGGAAAAACAATCGTTAAAAGTAAATATAACCATTGTCTCTTTCTATTTTATTGCTTTAGAATGTAATTATGTAAATCTTCAGCCGAAAGGTGAAACAATATTGTTCTATACAACTCATAGTGTTTAACCTATAAAACTGAAAAAAATAATTTCTCGAAAACTAAATTTCCGCAGAAAGTCGTACGGGGTGTTACTTCAATGGCCTTACTACTTACTTATTAAAATTATAAAGAAAATCTTACAAGTATTTACTGAGATATCTTGAAACAACTCATCTTTTGTTTCAGAAACACTTCATGCTTTCCCAAACCCATTAAACGATCTTGAGCGCTTTAAAGCCTGGTATACATTGATTGGTGGACCAAATTTGCTTGGCTTAACAAATGATCATATTTACAAGTATCGACGTGTGTGCCATGCACATTTTGAGAAAGGGTTTTGTTGTCGATACAATAGAATATCAAAAATTGCAATTCCCACCTTAAAAATGCCAGGTAAGCAATTCTTTTATTTTGATGTAAGAAGGTACTGATACTTAAAGTTAGTAGGTACCTCAGACGTGTGGTAGGTACTAATTACCTCAAGCAATTAATTTCAACACAAGGTTGTCTTGGCAATGAGTAGAGTAAAAATAGAAGTACCCTCAATTTCTCTCTTACAAAAGTTGGCAAATATGATCTATTGGCTAAGCTCATGTACTAGATATTATTGCGTTAGGCCTAAAATTTTGAACATTATTCTAATATTTAGTTTCAGACCCAAAACTACATTCAAGGAGTTGTTCAATACAACAATCCATCGAAAGTTCCTTTCGAAGTGCACCATCTACCTCAAAAGGTAATATTTTTATTTTATTTTATTTAAAATGATAGATATTAGTGATGTAAGAAATGTCCAATTTCCTACATTCGTGAATGCGAAAATCGGATTTGGGAACGAAAATTTGGAAGGAATTTGGAAGCGAAACATTATGGACACCTTAAGAAATTCCTGCCTTAACGTCTCAATACAATAACGGATCTTTATGCGGTTTTTTTACTAGATAGAGTGATTCAAGAGGATGGTTCATATATGTAATACATTGCACCCGTGCGAAGCCGGGACCGGTTGCTAGTTTTTTATAATAGTATATTTTATCAACATGTGGATCTTAACTTGAAATTTTTATACTGTTTCCTTGAGCATGACTGTATTTCAATATAATTAATAATTATAATTTTAAAGCTCTCATTAGTTTGATGAACTTTTTAAATGTTTGATGAGATCATAGTATGCATGCAAACAAGTGCTGGTATAAAATAGTATTACACAATTTTTCAGATTTGGCCTTACAATCAATACCTACTGGTTCAAATAGACAACCAATGCAAATCAATAGAAAATGTATTGCAAAATGTATCTTCAACCATAAAATGTAAGTTTATTATGTATAATTCTTCCTCTTGTTCATACTTTCAGGATAGATTTGTTTCTTTAGTTTTCTTTATTACATAGCCAAAGGACTCATTTAACTTCACCTTAGCCTTAAACAGGAATCGATAACAGGGTCTCTGGTTGTGGATTACCAGGATTTTGAAAACTTGTTGTACACACCACCCACAGTCATGTACTAGATATTATCGCGTTAGGCCTAAAATTTTGACCATTATTCTAATATTTAGTTTCAGACCCAAAACTACATTCAAGGAGGTGTTCAGTACAACAATCCATCGAAAGTTCCTTTAGAAGTGCACCATCTACCTCAAAAGGTAATATTTTAATTTAATTTAAAATGATAGATATTAGTGATGTAGGAAATGTCCAATTTGCGACATTCGTGAATACGATAATCGGATTTATAAATTTATATTATAAATATGGCACCAAAAGTATGTAATGTGCATTAATTTAGATACAATTAAATCAAATTTAATTTTCTGTAATGTCAAAATACTATCTATATATATATATATATATATATATATATATATATATATATATATATGTATTGGTTAATTCGAGGGTAATATTGAGCAAAGGTAGTTTGATTACATGAGTTTGTTTGCAACCTTGTCTGTGCAAAACTATTGTATCAGTACAGATTTTATCTTATATGTTTTCATTTTACAATGTATAAACATACGTGTAAAAACAAGTAATTAATAATTTCTTTTATAGAATGTACGAGGACGAAAAGAAGAATATATAAAGCCACAACTTTAGAAGACAAGATCCTTCGTAAAACTGTTGCTGCGGCAAGAATAAAGTTGAGCAAATATAAAAATATTATTGAAAAACAAGCTGCATCAATTAAAGCTACAAAAAATATATTAACAAACCAAAAAGTTCTTAAAGCCCTGGACAACCTGCCAAATTCCGGTAAAATACTCACAATGTTGCAGTTTCGTGAAAACAAAAAGAAGAACAAAGGAAGAAGATTTACATACAGTGAAAAAATTATTGCCTTGTCCTTATTAAAAAGAAGTCCGAAAGGGTACCGCCTATTTAGAAATATGTTTATACTTCCGGCCCCTCAAACCTTGATTAAACTAAGTAACAACGCAAATATTCAACCTGGAGTAAACCCCATCATATTTTCTCAATTAAAACAGCAAGTACAGAAAATGAAGGCGAGTGAAAAATTATGTATTCTGTTATTTGACGAAATGGCTTTGAAAGCAAATTTAACATACAATGAAAGAACGGATAAAGTTATTGGGTTCGTAAATAATGGTTTCGAAGCACATGAACAGTTTGCAGATCATGCACAAGTTTTTATGGTAAGAGGCTTATTAAAAAATTACAAGCAGCCAGTCGGGTATACATTTTCAGCGTCAGCCACAAAGGGGCCGGAATTAGCTAAACTCTAATCAAGATATTTATCCGGGAGTTAACAAAGGTTGGATTAACTGTTGTTGCAACAGTTTGTGATCAAGGCTCAGGAAATAGAAACGCCATTAAGTGCTTGACGGAAGAATCGCGAGTTGACTTTCTCAGAAGAGGAGAGGAGCCCAAGCAAGGTTTAATTTTCATAGACAATTTAAAAATTGTGCCCATTTTTGATCCACCCCATCTAATTAAATGTGTGCGAAATAATTTAATTACCAAAGATTTAAAATACACAGCTAATAATACCACAAAAATAGCAAAGTGGCAACACCTGGAGCTCTTATATAAAGAAAATCCAGCCTATCAAGGGATCAGGCTTATGCCCAAACTTACAGAGAACCATATAAAGCCTTCACAAATAAATAAAATGAAAGTAAAATATGCGACTCAAATTTTTAGTCAAACTATAGCTGCAAATATGGGCTATTTATCAGGTAAAATTACGAGTACTTAAAATGTATAAATATTATGTATTGTTGTAACCTTTTATGCCATATTTATATCCAATTATGTTATATTCTTTCAGATAAAGGTGTAATCCCGTCAGAGTGCAAGGAAACTGCTGATTTGTTATTATTCTTTGATAATATTTTTGATTCATTAAATGGGAGTTTCGAGAAAAAACATTTACATGCGAAGCCTGCACTTGGACCGGTAACCCCCAAATCGATACACCGAAAAATTTGGAGAAATGCAAGAAAGATTATAAAGACAATGAATTTTATAAACAAAGGAAAAATTGAAAATGTCCCTACCTTACAAAACTGGATATGGACACTAGATGGGATAGAAACACTTGTAAATGAACTTGAAAAGAAGCATGGAGTGAGCTCAGTTTGGATGCGGCACCTAAATCAGGATCCTTTAGAAAATTTTTTTGGTTCCATTAGGAGTCATGGGTGCCGCAATACGAACCCCACTCCTGAAAGGTTTCAATCAGCATTTGCGACATTATTAATTAATAGCCTGTCTAGTGTCCATGCCCCCGGAAATAATTGTGAAAATGATTTTGCTACAGCATTACACGCCCTCGTGATCAATGAGGACTGCAAAGCCAGTAATGACATGGATGTTGATTTATTGGATTTCAATGAAATTAATGTGATATCAATCGAACAAAAAACATCTAATCCGGTTATCAGAGCGGGACTAGAATACTGCAGCGGTTATTTCGCGAAAAAAATTAAAGATAAGATATTTAAAAATTGCCAATTGTGCAAAATTTCTTTTATTAATGAAAGTGAATCAGAATATATAAAATATCGTGAATTCCAAAAAAAACAATGGCTTTGCAGTCCATCAAAAGAATTATTGCTTGTTGTAAGTGAAATGCAGGACATTATTTATGAGGTTTTAATGAAAAAAATATCATCTCCAATGATTAAAGAATTAATAAAAACAATAATATTGATGTATGTAGATTTTAATTTTATTAATTGTGATTTACATAAAGAAAAGAACATTGAATTTATTGTTAATTTTGTGAGTAGATTTTTCATTTACAACTATTGTAAAAACATTAATAAAATATTGTGTGGTAGACGAAAAATAGATGATCAAGAAGACGTTTTGCAAGTCAAAGCGCAAAATCATTTTAACAAATGTTTTAAAAGGAAAAAATACAAAATATTTTTAAAAACAAAATTTTTCTAGGTACTGAAAACAAAGAAGTAATTAAGTTTATATTTAAAGCTTGTTGCATCAAAATTAGAAAAAAGGAAATACAAACGTAAGTTGGTTCTAAAGTAGTCCTGTGGCTGGCAGTAGCAGGATCGTTGTCTACAAACAAGTAGACTATGTCATCGGCATATGTGGCCATGGTGATATTATTATCAACCGGTAAGTTAGATGTAAATATATTATAAAGTACCGGGGCAAGAACCAATCCTTGGTGACAATGAATCTGCAACCCTCGGGTGTAGCAGATTTCAATGGACGGCGGTATTCACCTCACATCAGGTGAACCGCCAGCTCACTGGCAACTTATCACATAACAAAACAGCCATTATTTCATGAAGGCTGGATCGCGTTTCTCCTTGTTTGATTAGGAAGGATCGATCAAAGAGGTAAGATACCACAAGCCTTAACATGGAATGTGTTAACATGGACATTCTTAAAATTGCATTGAATTTTATTAAAGACACATGATACTCTTTCTGGTCAGATTCTTTAGTATGGGGTAAAGCTTGTTTTTAAAAATATTTTGTATTTTATTTCCTATTATAATATGTTATATTCACGATATTTTATATATTCTGATTCACTTTCATTAATAAAAGAAATTTTGCACAATTGGAAATTTTTAAATATCTTATCTTTAATTTTTTTCGCGAAATAACCGCTGCTGCAGTATTCTAGTCCCGCTCTGATAAACGGATTAGATGTTTTTTTGTTCGATTGATATCACATTAATTTCATTGAAATCCAATAAATCAACATCCATGTCATTACTGGCTTTGCAGTCCTCATTGATCACGAGGGCGTGTAATGCTGTAGCAAAATCATTTTCACAATTATTTCCGGGGGCATGGACACTAGACAGGCTATTAATAATTTAATAATTAATAATGTCGCAAATGCTGATTGAAACCTTTCAGGAGTGGGGTTCGTATTGCGGCACCCATGACTCCTAATGGAACCAAAAAAATTTTCTAAAGGATCCTGATTTAGGTGCCGCATCCAAACTGAGCTCACTCCATGCTTCTTTTCAAGTTCATTTACAAGTGTTTCTATCCCATCTAGTGTCCATATCCAGTTTTGTAAGGTAGGGACATTTTCAATTTTTCCTTTGTTTATAAAATTCATTGTCTTTATAATCTTTCTTGCATTTCTCCAAATTTTTCGGTGTATCGATTTGGGGGTTACCGGTCCAAAGTGCATGTAAATGTTTTTTCTCGAAACTCCCATTTAATGAATCAAAAATATTATCAAAGAATAATAACAAATCAGCAGTTTCCTTGCACTCTGACGGGATTACACCTTTATCTGAAAGAATATAACATAATTGGATATAAATATGGCATAAAAGGTTACAACAATACATAATATTTATACATTTTAAGTACTCGTAATTTTACCTGATAAATAGCCCATATTTGCAGCTATAGTTTGACTAAAAATTTGAGTCGCATATTTTACTTTCATTTTATTTATTTGTGAAGGCTTTATATGGTTCTCTGTAAGTTTGGGCATAAGCCTGATCCCTTGATAGGCTGGATTTTCTTTATATAAGAGCTCCAGGTGTTGCCACTTTGCTATTTTTGTTGTATTATTAGCTGTGTATTTTAAACCTTTGGTAATTAAATTATTTCGCACACATTTAATTAGATGGGGTGGATCAAAAATGGGCACAATTTTTAAATTGTCTATGAAAATTAAACCTTGCTTGGGCTCCTCTCCTCTTCTGAGAAAGTCAACTCGCGATTCTTCCGTCAAGCACTTAATGGCGTTTCTATTTCCTGAGCCTTGATCACAAACTGTTGCAACAACAGTTAATCCAACCTTTGTTAACTCCCGGATAAATATCTTGATTAGTTTAGCTAATTCCGGCCCCTTTGTGGCTGACGCTGAAAATGTATACCCGACTGGCTGCTTGTAATTTTTTAACAAGCCTCTTACCATAAAAACTTGTGCATGATCTGGAAACTGTTCATGTGTATCGAAACCATTATTTACGAACCCAATAATTTTATCCGTTCTTTCATTGTATGTTAAATTTGCTTTCAAAGCCATTTCGTCAAATAACAGAATACATAATTTTTTTCCTCGCCTTCATTTTCTGTACTTGCTGTTTTAATTGAGAAAATATGATAGGGTTTACTCCAGGTTGAATATTTGCGTTGTTAAATAGTATAATAATTAATAATAAATAATTGCGTTGTTAAATAGTATAATAATTAATAATAAATAATTGCGTTGTTAAATAGTATAATAAGTAATAATAATTAATCAAGGTTTGAGGGGTCGGTAGTATATACATATTTCTAAATAGGCATAGGTACCCTTTAGGACTTCGTTTTAATAAGGACAAGGCAATAATTTTTTCACTGTATGTAAATCGTCTTCCTTTGTTCTTCTTTTTGATTTCACGAAACTGCAACACTGTATTTTACCCGAATTTGGCAGGTTGTCCAGGGCTTTAAGAACTTTTTGGTTGGTTATCAACGTTTTAGGAGCTGGAAGTACAATAAATAACTATTTTTTTATTATTAAAATATTTTTACTCATAAATAAAACATATTATATTTTTATATTTGCTCAGCTTAATTACAAATAAAATAAAACCTTTGTACATATTTGTATTGCATATGTAACATAATTGCCGACATGATCTGATGAGGGAGCTAGAAATTATGACGGTAGCTGTGTTATACCTAGCTTAATTTGTTAGTTCTTGTTTATATAGATTTATTGAATTGTTCTTAATGAAATGTTTGATCAAACATATTTGCCGACGTGATCTGATGATGGAGCTAGAAATGATGAGGGTGTGAACTTGTTGGATTGGTTATCATACGGGTTATCATAAAAAGAATATTTTTAAAAACAAGCTGTGTCCTCAGGCGCTGGGTTTGGTGGAAAAAATTTCATCCAAGCTAATCTAAGCATTAGGGTTAGGACCGAGGGGCTGGTAGCTTTTAGCTGAAAGCTTTGAATAGGTTTTAATTTAGGTTAAGTTTTGTTTTATTTTAAATAATTTTATGTTAATGTTTGTAAATAAATTATTTAACTTTATAAGTACCAAAATGTCATGTAGAGCTTGACGGGAGATTTAAGAAAAGGTAAAACCAATGCGGACAAAAGTGTTCATAATAACTTTGTAAAGTAGCAATCGAATTATAAAGTTTCGAAGTATGATTATAGTACCAATAAAGAAGTTTATATGTATTCAGAGTTTCATTTAAATTATTTCTTAGTATCTTCATCTTCTTTATTTAAATTATTAATTTCCTCTGAAAAATATAAATAAATAAAAAAAATACTAATCAAGGTCAAGGTCAGCTGATATAATATTTTTTACAACTAGTAAATATAGATGGCGCTAGCTTTAATAGTTACCCAAAAAAACCACTGAGTTAAGCCTCTATTTCCCTATATACAAAAGTACTCTGTGGGTGGGCGCAAAGAGTAAAGTTATCTATGGTCAGCGTCAGTCAGCCGTCAGATGTCAACCGTAGTGTAAAAAAGCGATTTACGTGAATAGGACGGGTGAGGCTGAGGCTTGAGGTGACATTTGTTTATGTGTCAAGTAGCTGTGCTTGCGTGTGTTACTAAAGTTATAACGATTGTTGTGTTAAACAATAAATTGTTGTTTTAGGACAATAAGTGCTAATTAACTGCAATTATTTTCTGCTATTAAATAAAACTACTGGGAAGTGTTATTCGCTTTGTATGAATAATAAGTTTTGTCCTGCTCGTAAGTTCAACAAGGCTCTGGTATTTGAGGTAACATACTTTTCAAAAAACTTTTTATTTATAACATATATTTCTCGGTTCTCCATTGATTTTTGAGATAAGAATCTTCTTGTTTTTTCCGTTTCGTTATAATTTTCAAGTATAAAGTAGGTAATAGAATAATAGAAGAACTCAGCACCACCGTTTACCTACGTAATACTCACAATTTGCGATGATTCATCTTATGTGAATCTTAGCTTTCATATTGAATAGTTCCGTATAGGTGCCATCGTGTTTTAATAGATAAAGGCATTGAAATGAGCTATTTCAATATACTTCCTCTATGTATGCTCATTGGATCTTGGTATTGTGAACTTCAGTAGATTCAGTAGTGCATACATCATAGACTACGTAAAACTAATCACATGTAGAAACTTAGCTGTTCCTACCAAATATTTAGTTATTCTTACTAAATGACTTTTAATATGCATTGCAAAGATTATAATGAGTAATTTCCTCCAACATTTTCACTCTTAGCAGTTTTACAGTAATCTCTATTTATCCAATATTTCAGTATCTATTTTAGATTTTTTCCTTCTGGACATAAAATGTCAAAATAGGTGTCAAAAATATGACACAAAAAGTAAATATTAAAATTTTTATCAAATATGGTAGACAGTTGCTAATCTGGCGCCCGAATTTTTAATATATCCTTTATAATACTTTTCTCTTACCTTTCTGTCTCACTAGGTTTAACATTAGAATGGCAAGTGAAACGTTACAAAGCATACCATCATTGTTTAAATAATTTTGATGTCATATTCTTAGTCCAAAAGTAGACAATGTTGTATTGGTACAATGAAGAGTAGATTTTTCCCACGATTGGCACAGACAGTGATATTTCATTCTAATTCATGTGAAATTATAAGATTAACAAATTACTAACTTCATTATTTATTAAGAAAATATTTTTTTAATAGAATAATTTAATTGAACAATGAAGATTGTTATTGAAAATGAAAATTGATGACTCGGTGACTAGTAGTTACCAAGATACTAGCTTTGGCATCAGGCTTCATGGGTTCGATCCCCACACGAGACAACTATTTGTGTGACCCACAGATAGTTGTTTTGTATCTGGGTGTTTGTCCTCGTGAAATTTATGTTTGTAAAACGTCCTTACAACACAGGATAATGTTATCCTAAAGTAAGGCCAATGTTTTTTATTTAATAAAAAAAATTCTATAATTTTTGTTATTAAATTTTATTAGTTTAGTTTAGTATGTTATTATATTATAAAGGTTACTTGTCTTTTAATTTGTTTTTTACTGTTTGAATTACTGCAAGTATTTTAAATATCATTTCACATTAACAGTTTAATTTTCAAAAAAATGCCAGAAAAGTTAAATCTGATTCAAAACTGTATGTGACTAAATTAAAAAAAAAATGAACATTTGTGTGTTAAAGGTTATTTTAATTGTAGTGATCATTTAAATGATAACAAACTTTGGAAATGAATTGGGCCAGGCTGTTTCAAGTGGACTATAATATATATACATACTTCATTGTCAAATAATCGTATAAAAATGGGGTGTTGCGTGTCTTTTCTTTTCCGAACGGGTAGTAGTATTTTGACAATCAATAAGTGAGTAATGCTTTAATATTGAATAACATATTTGAATTTTAATCACTTTTCTGTCAGTGACAGTCCAGTTAAAACAGATCCAAAAGTCAGAACCATCAAAAAAAAAAACACTGACAAAAAGTTTGTAAGTTTGTAATAACAAAACAAAAAGTTTGTTTAATTCTTTTGATATAACGACCTTCCAATGCCTCTCTTAATACCAATGATGTGCAGTTTGGGTCTAGGAACTACCCACTTTATCTATCTAATGGTAGCAGCTAAAAAATAAAAAAAAAACGTCTATATGCCATTTATGGATGTTGAATGTCTATATAGTCAGATAGCCAGTTGTTCATTTCGGATTATATTATTTATTACATATACATTTTTTTATAATGGAATCGTAAAACTAACATTATTTTTATTCAAGCATTCCGTTGCCTAATATTTGTATAGGTTGATGTCACACCGAACAGAGTTTGTCAATTAGCATATTAGAATTTCAAATTCACTGACCTTGGTTTTAATGTCACAATGCCAAATATCTGATTAACGGCATCTGCATATGCTTCTTGTTCCTACAATAATTCTCAGTGTATTTTTGCTCGTAAATAAAAAAAGGTATAGAAAATAAAAATTATGTAACATAAAAATTTACCACATTCTTTGTTAATAATAATAAATCTCTTATATTATTATTAAGAAAGAAGGTAATTTTTTATGAAAAGGAGGCAAGCTATCTGGTGGTTTACGTGATGTTGAGTGATAACCACCGCCCATGGGTTTCTGCTTCATTCGTGGGGTGTTTGATTTGGTGTACCACCTACTTGCGTGCCAAACTGTCACATAAAAAGAAACTAAATGACAGATATTTGTCGAATGAGCCAGAGATGACAAGTCATCTGTGGTAGGGCCACGCAAGTGTTCGCTGTTGCACGAATGGGCAGGTCCGCCCCGGGTTAGTACCAGCACCTCACAGAAGACTGGCGTGAAGTAGAAGTGTTACATTTCTGCGATTCGTCTCGTGAGTGAGGTATCGCACGCATCTACAGCTCTACGGGTGTTGCAAATGTCC